CAACATTTTCTTTACTTAAAAAGTAATTTTTAATACATTTGTATCCCACATCAATAATACAAAATTTTCTGGCGGCAAATTTAATTTCTACAAGAAAGTATGAACAAGTACTTCAAGTCTGATTTATTGTGTTTTACTGATTTGTTGTTCGGATTTGGATTAGGCTGGCCTAATTGAACTGCAACCAACTTAAAACTGATATAACTTTTAAATCGTTGGCAATGTTATGTCCATAGTTATGTAATGGCTCAAAGAGCTTAAGCTCGCAAAAAGCCACAAAAATTAACATAAGTAATTAACTCTGTAACACCTAAATTAAATAAAGAATCTTAAAACCGAACCGAACTTATGTCCATAGTTCGCCTAATGATAGCTGATTTTATTGTTGCAAAACCTTCCGTAGGCTTGTACTACGGAAGGTTTTGCATCTCAGTTTTTTGGATAAAAATGTTATCAGTGATGGAATTCAAACGTAATAGCCCAATATTTGAGCAGAAAACCAAAATTGGATCACCTTAATGTGCAGCATCTTCCAAACTGTGAGTCGCGCGAACTTGTCTAAGGAGAGGCGCAAATATTAGTTTGCCTGCTAAAGTTTTATCTATTTTATGGAATGGTTGAGGGGGAGCCGCCAATCGATTAAATATTTTTAAGGGAGGCTTAGTAACATCAAGTTTGGAAACCACTACCTTAATTTGTCTCGAACCATAATATGTTATAACAAAGCTAGTAATGATACAAAATTTATTTTGGAAGTCGGAAAAGAACTAGATCTGTGGTAGAAGTGGTTCGGAAACTTAAGGCTCGAATTGAATGAAATTCCAAAAAGGCCAAGATCTCACCGATGTTCAAAAAAAAACTAGACTCAATAGAACGAAGAAGCTGTTGCGCTTCTACGAACGCAGCCAATTGCTAAATATCGTCTTGTTTGATGATAAAAAAAAATCCCAATTGAGAAATTCGTAAACAAAAGAAGTGATCGAATTTACTAAGAAGAGAGGTCAAACGAAAATTTAGACAGTCGGATGGCTACAAGAAGTCAAGTACGACCGTTTGTGGTAGTTTGAGAGGCTGTGATGGTCGATAGTTGCTCTTCGTTGGTATTTTTGTCTAGGTTAATGCGAATGTTTACTACGAAAAAGTTTTGGAAGGTACTCTGAAGCCGAGGACAACTAAACATTTCAGTTAGAATGAGAGGACGGTTCAAGAAGATACTGCACCATCACACAAAGCACGCGAAAACCAACAATGGCTGAGAGACAACGTTCCACACCTCATTTCGACCGCACAGTGCCTCCACGGTGACCAGATGCAAATCCGCTCGATTTTTCGGTATGGGTCGTTTCACATGCCAATTTCAGCACTAAAAAATACCAAAGTGTTAATGTTTTCAATAAATTCCTTCTTCGTAAAAGGACGAAGATTCCACAGGTTCACATTTGAGCTATAGTTCGCGTACAAGGCGGCTTTATCGAAAATTTTAAATGAATTAAAATAAATTAATTGTTTTCTAACATTTTTTGCTTTTGGTTCAGTAAAATCCAATTTCATATAACAAAAATACAGCGTTCTGAAAAGTTGCAGTTCAATTGGGCCATCCTTACATCAAAAATATTATTAGGGGATGAAATATTTACGAGTGATACGACAATGAAATGCATTCATGTACAACAGAAATGGAAATTCCGAGTTGAATTGGAAATATCTTTTCGCGTGCAAAGTAATCTCCGTGATTTCACTTCATCTGACTACCATCAATTGCGACCGCTCCGGAATTTCTCAGATCGCAGCGAAATGAGAAGAAAAGAAAAAAAGGAGCATTAGCAAATGAATCAATAATGGGGATTATTCAAAGGAGTCGAAGCTGTTCTTGAACACAAAGCTCGAAAACCAGAAATATTAAATTAATTCTGAAACCTTATGTTTATTTTCATCGTGTTTTTACTCTATATCGAAATATAAAATTGATTCAGTAAGTACAGCTATGAAATGTATAAATCACGTTTCGCTGTATTAATATTTGAATGAACACGTAACTGAAACTGAAAGTTATTTACAGTTTTTTGAAACAAAGTATATAATGAATTATACATGCTTTGTGTACGTACGTTAGGTAATTTATTCGCGAAGTTGATCGCATTAAATTCTGTTGGAAACTTAAAATTTGTTTGTGCTCGCTTCGCTCCGCACTGCTCTGCCTTCGCCCAGCTTCAATTATTATTATTTATATCCGTGTAATGCTTTTATTAATGGTTTTTAATTTGGAAAATTAGCGTGTTGCTAGTGCGTTCGCGGCACGGGCATAAAGCATTTCGCTGATTTATGTGCAAGTGAAATGTAGTGTAAAAATGGCAAAACTAATTTATGAATGGAAAACATTAGGCGAAGTGATTTACGATCGGCTCGTCTTAGCACGAGTGCAGGATGGAAGAGAGAGAAAAGGAGGATCATCGTTCAAAAAAGATTTATAAACTAGTCTGTTGTTTACGCATACAAACAAAAACGGATATTTAATACGAAAAAGTTGCCAACAAAATAAATTTACTAGTTAATTTTAATCTATTATGTTCTTTTTTTTATAAATTTCAATACACTTGTACAGAAAGACCTCGCAAAGTCCGGTTTTTATAATATATACATATGGAATGTATTTAATCCATAAAATTGTCTTATTGTCTATAAACTCATAAATAGATGCTGTAATTGCGAGCATCTACAGTAAAGCAAAGTTTTTGCAATCATAACGAAGTATCCCGCAAACGAGTTACTCGTATTTATTTACAGTTTGTGTTTGTGTTTATTTTCCTCAAATGTTATGTTTGCCGATTGGGGAAGTTTTATTTTCTTAACTAACAAACTGATCCAATTCGAAACTCGTTACTATATATCAATTTATTTTCTGTTCAGTGTTATTATTTATTTAACAAATTTTTATAAATTAAGTTTTCAATAATAATAATAATAAATTTTAGATATTATCAATTTGATCAAACTTATTACTCTATATTCAAAGTACGGTGAAAGATACTAATTAAATCATCATAAATGAAGTAACGAAAAAATAGTGAAATTTGCGGTATCTTTTAATTATTTAAAATTTTTGTTGTTTCTTGAAAAATTTAAATTTACGGTACTTTTGAAAATCATTTCAAATTTGAAAAAAAAAAAACAAATTCTCGAAAAATCAATGATTTCCATTAGATGTATATGAAAGCTGGATTCATACATTACTGTGGTTTCATCCGTTTGACTGTAATTTATTATCAAATTTGAAAAAATTAAATTAACGCTCGAAAAAGGCAGTGTTTTTCATTTCATTTAACTGTACTAGATAAAATTAATCCAAAAGATGCATATGAAACGTGGATAAATGAGGAATGTAGCGAGTATTAAAAAAGTTTATCCGTTTGGCTGTTATAATAGAAGTAATACAAATCTGTTGATTATTACACTGACAACAAAACATTTTACACAATTATACTTTTAGTATCACTTGCAGAGGGTGTGCTTTCTGTTTTTATTACTGGTTAATTGCTTTGGGTTCATATAATGCGCCTGATTTCGCGCAACGAATAAAGTTCATACATATGTGTACACACGGAATAATAATAAAAATTAATTGCAATCTACCCCCATCCCTTCCTTTCGACGAGTCCTAAATAAATATGAGTTCCGACCCTCATCCAGATTAAATTTTAATAAAATTACGAAAGCGCTCGTCGTTTTTCTGCCCCCTCTAACTTCCGTTAGTAGTTCTATTTCGACAAATTAAATAGAGAAAAGGCGCGCACTGATGAAAAACGGAAAATAATTAAACACCGCTCCTTTCTCAACTTTAAATAGTTTACGACGGAAAATACGACAAAAAAGAAAGGAACTCGTTTGAAAATAATCAGTTTGTAGTTAAGATTTATCAAAGAGCGTTTCCATTTCTAGTACACTCCACGCAATTGTTCTGAACGAGATGATACAAAATTGTTAAACGATTCCTGACATTCCTGTAACTTATAGTGTTGTGGTGCTCACTCCAGCCCGCTTATATGACGTCACCGCAGCTGGTATTCCGGGAAGGACTGATAAGGGTACTACCTGGTTAGGGTATATAAGCTGCAACATATCTGTACCCGGCCTCTTTACACTTCTCTTATTTCCTGTCTTCACTTCCGTTACTCTTGTGTCGCGCCGCGTTAGCCAGTAAGGTTCTCGGTATCATGTCTTGTAAGTACCCTTTTGTACCCTGTCTTCTCTTCCGCTTCTCTTGGGTCTTGGTACCATGTAAGGTTCTCTGTATTATCTCGTGAGTATTCTCTGTGTTTGCTCTCGAACCTCGGACTCAATAACAGTAAGAAACCTTGATATAATATATATCATAATATATTGTATCAGCGATGATTACTACAAATAAACTTATATACGAGCATCTCCAAAGTGTTAAATGATTGTTTATATTATTTCAATATTAGCAACAACAATATTCATGGTTCTACAAATTATATATATATTGTTATATTAATACAAGTAATATCTTAATTTCTCGCACATTACAAGACACGTAATGTGTGAATAGAATACGTTGATGAACGTCGGATGTTTATCTTAATTACATTAACAATTCAATTTACATTCTAGATTGTATCATGTTATGTGCCAAATCCGCATTAGATATCAATCGATAAAAATGAAACAAAATGCTGCAAAATATTAACTAAATACGAATTGTCAAATGTTTACTTTGATACGTGTCATCTTTCATTTACAATGAATACATAATTGAAATGTATAAAATTGCTTCGGAGGCCGAATCCTGCTCGTGGGCCTACTGTAACCCAATTACAGCAACTAGATCAATTCATAATTTGGATGTTAGATTGTTTGATTAGTAAAGCTAAAGGTCAAATTGTAATTTGCATGTGCAGTGAAAGAGTATTGTTAGTTGGCGGCGATTAAGCATAAAAAAAACTGAATGGAGGCGAGAATTTGAATCGGAATTGTTACGCAAGTTCGCATGCTGCATGCGACCGCAAATTGGACCGGACGCATTCTTCGATCGGCTTCCTGTCCACGCGATATCGCCATAACAATTTTCTTTCGAGCACCCTCCTTCCCGCGTCCCTCGCGATAAGATTGTGCGGGGGGGGCGATTGTCGATTTGTTAATTATACGATTATCATTAATCACGCTCATTTCTCTCTTTCTCCAGTGCCGCCACAGAAGATCGTGATCATGGACGAATCCGGATCTCAGCTGACATCAGTCGTCGGGCCCTTCTCCGAAGGAGCTTCCTTCACCCTCAGGTGCGACGTATTCGGAGGTGAGTTAACTCAATCAACGTTTTTTTTTTGTTATTCTCTGTCTCTCTATCTATTGCATTCGTTGCTCTTGATTTTGTGTCCGTGTATCGCGTGTTAACGTGTGTTTGAAGGAATAAAAAAAAATTAGGGGTGGACTGAAACACGTTGTCCGTAGTGACGGATCACCGTTGGGAATTACAAATACCCCAGTTTTAACGTATCGTACCCAAAAAAAAAAAGGACGTGGTCGACACGATAGATTTCCAATCCATTATATATCTGACATTTCGCAGACACTGCAGATAAACATTGTTTTTTTTCCAAATTTCTATATTTACAGTTTAGATCCCTCAAAATAATTACTTTTACTCATCTTTTACACATATTCGTGCTAATTGAAAAAAAAATCTTTGAATTTCTTTTGAAACACATCAATTAAGTTGCCTATAAATTTTTATTATTTTGGTAAATTCAGTCAATTTTAAGCTTAAATCGTGTAGTAAGTAAATTACAGTTATTTAGATTACAAAACGAGCACCTCGCATAACGAGCAAAATAAATCCTAAGAAAAATGACTCTTAAAGTGGAACGCATTATCGTATATTACATTAGTTTATATGAGGAAAATTGTTTCACTATACGAGTAAAAATCAAGAAATTTTGTAACGGATTATGCTTTTTAAGCGAGGTTCCACTGTATATATATATATATATATATATTTAGTAACAGTATTATTTTATAAACTTATTTCATTATATTCTGCTATCCACTTATTCTTTTCGTTGCAACATAAAAAAACCTATACAGAAATGACAAGTATTACTTGAATGTAATTATAATTATACTCACTTGAAGATTACAGTAAAGTACCAACAAGTATTTAGGTCCCTTTATAATTTAAATAGTGATATAAATACGCCGGTACTTAAAAGTACAGTCAGACGACAAACAGTTAACTGTTATATTAACTTCAGCAAATTTTCTATTATAATCATACAAATACCGTTAATTTCAATAATCAACTTTTTATAATTTCTTGATATAAATTTTGAAACAATTGAGCCAATCATAAATTTAATTTGATAAAAAAAAACTTGGTACAAACTATATCAAATTTAACAATATGCATTTGCTGACAAAGCGAAAACTTTAGAAAGAGTTTGATGCGAAAATCGGTGAATGCAGCAGAGAGAATATGGAACAGTTACAAATGCCAGCATTAATTGAAGTAATTTAAGAATGATCCTTTTGTGAGTGAGATTTTGGCTTGGTTCGTGGATTTTCGGGCTTGGCAAAGTTTCGGATGTGCACAGGAATATATATATATATATATATATATATATATATAGAGAGAGAGAGTGGAATAGCATCTTTCGCAAAGGGCTGACTGATTAACATCGTTGTTTTGTTCCCTCATTAGTCTCCAGAGTAATCTGGAAATACTAACTTTCCGGAGATGCGAAATTATTAGAACACTATGTGAATACATATTAAACACATGCATGTTAACTTACATTTTTAATTAATAAGAAACATAATTGATTATACCCATGTCTTTGGATAGTCTGTTTACATATGACAATCTTAATAATAACTACAGTGGAACGTCGCATAACGAGCGAGAAGTCCCGGAATGCGCGCCTGTTACATGATTTTTAAAACTTGTGTACACATCTTATGTGTATTTTTGAATATGTTTTACTATACGAGTATTTCACTATACGAATAAAAAGCGGGAAATTTTGGAACGGATTAAACTCGTTAAGCGAGGTTCCACTGTATAAAAGAATAATTACTAATTTAATTCATCTAAAACCTAATTTTTGCAATATTAAAGATCGTGCATCAATTAAGAACATGATATTGATTTCATTTAGTCTATTAGTGCGGCTTCGATCACTATAGATTCGTTATATTTTTTGTGTTCATTTCGATGAAGTCATCTAATCAAATGGAAAAAGAATGGCAAAAGTTTAATTTGAAATCAGCATAGTAAGATTATATATGTATTTATTGCCTCTTCGGCATCGTCCCTCATCCATCGTTCCGATCCAATAATATATTCTCGTTATTTACAAAACGAGTTCAACGCAAGACATATATCAAATCCAATATCCAATATACGTGTGTGTCGGTGTGTGTGTGCATGCTCCCGTCCATCCATACAGTTGGTCCCTTCTCAAACATCCACCCCACCCACCCATCCAGCCCACTCACGTCAAGACATATTTTAAAAGATACGTCCTTTTACAAAAGCAGATTCTTAGCATTCCTTCCTTCCCTCTCGAAAACTTTCTGATCTATTACACGAAAAGCATATAGGACGTTCCAAATATCATTACTGTTTGCGAAGACTTCAGTCTCTCATGGAAATAAATATAAGAATGCATGCCTGCATCATTTGGTGCACATTTATTACTTCTACTACTACCATCAGTTAAGAATTAAACATTCGTCACTGTTCAGAACTTAAGATTGAGACACACGAAAATTGATGATGATGATGAAAACGCAGACCGCAATTTCGCGTCCGCCCGTGCATTTATTAGACCCGCGCTGCAGGTTTCGTTGCGTGTCTGAATTTAAATTAGGATAAATATTTAATTTGGAAATGGCCGCATCCCTTCTAATTAAGATTAGGCTTTCAAGATACATATTAGATGATACAATATAATTCACGGCGTACAATCCCGCAATCTCGCAATTGATGAGTTCCACTTGCGCTCGTTAAAGTAATCAGACTTTTACTAAACTAACTGCTTTATTATTAATAATCAATAAACATTAATTAAATTTACTATTACTATTGTTTTTTTTGATTGATTTTTGATTCATTTTGGAAATTAATACAAAATGAACTTTGTGTTCTACAAGGTGGCTGAGGTTTTTGAACATCGATTAAAAATCTGGAAAAGGGTGGACTTTCGTTTATAAAATGATTCTAAATTGGTGCAAGCGTAATTTGATATATTAATTATATAAATTAAGGAGTTTTCAATAATATATCATATTTTGCTGTTGAGTTTTGTGAGCTTCATTAAAACTTGCTTTAGAGTAGAAAGTACAAAATAAAGACGCCGAGTTGCAAAAGCTACCGCAGAACAGTGTGCGTGTGTATTCACATGAATAACTGGAGTGTGATTTAATGTCGTCTGAGTGTACATAAGCTACTTGTAATCTATTATATCAGCAGAAAGAGGGAGTTTTGCAGATGGAGGTGGGCATAATTATAGGCATACATCAGTTCGTTGTGTAGGTGTCCCCCCTCACCGTAAAAGATGTCAAGTTAATTTGAGTATTAATTCTTGCCGTCAAGGGTTGGCGGAGGAAAGGGTCGCCTCGTACACAATGGAAGACAATCCCTGCGACGTCGTTTAATTCCGAAAGTCGTCACTTCTGCGCCAACTTTATGTGTGCATGTACGTATATGCGACACACAGACTTACATATTTGTATGTGCGGGTTTGGCAAGTTGTAAGGGCTGAGATGAGAGGATTTCGCGTTGACGAATAAGACTGTTCGTGTTCAAATTGAGCCAACTTGTCACCGTAGCGAACGGAAAGATGGGTTTCCATCCAGTTGGTCCGTTGGTCTTGGGGATTGCTACAGAAAGAGCGGCTGCAGTCACGGATGCTCTCGCGAGGAATAACATTTGGATAACAAATTCAATTACAATCAATTTCACCTCCACTATCGTCGACGACGAATATTGAGCCCGAAGTGTTTCCCATTTACCGTCTGCGACTGGATTAAATACGAACCAAAGAGAGAGAGAGACAAAGTTCAAGGCCAAAGTACATGTTTTGATGTAAATCCGGATTGATGGCTGCAATTCCAAGCGCAGTGCAGTTCTTCCCACGAATGACACATGCATGATGGGTGGAAGCACTCGTGTATATGCAGTAACAAAACAGGAAGCAAAAAAAAAACTGGACGAGAGAGCAAAACATTTTAAAATTAATGCTCGCAGTCTGAGCTTCTCTCGGAGGTGTACATGTGAATCTGTGTGTGTGCGTATGAATGTGTACACTTCGGGTCCGTTTTGTATAGTTTATGAAGTAAGTGGAGGTAATACATCACATGCACGGGGAGGCACATTTTGCATTCACCATTTTCTTGTTGCTTTTATTCGTCGGAGCAACGCTTTGTACAGCGCGCATAATACAAGAAAAGCCGAAGAGCATGAGAAGGTTATGATGTATGAGCCTCCGAAAAGCTTTTAATAATTGTATTCAAGCATTCCAATAAAACTACTCAAAAATTATGTAATATTTTAAGATAATTAAGACAAATTACGCTATTATAATAAAATTGTTCTATTTAAGCTCTCCTATGTATCCCAGTTTTCTTTATTCCTAAACGACAAATACGAATATTTTCGTTAAAATCCGCTACAAGTAGATATACGAATTGCAGCGAATTGAAAATCGTCTTTATTTCAATTGGATTAAATCTATTTTGGTGTAAAGAGCCATTTTTTTAAGATACGCGTAAGAGCCGCACGTAACAATACACACGCAATTTTTAGGAGTGAAATTAATTTTACAACATAAAATTTACCAATATTTACATATCTCGATGTAAAGGGATTCTTGGATTCAAATTACTAATTACAGATTGAAGAACATTTATTTATTTGTAAAAATAATGAGCTAAGAAAGTAAATAGTTTATTTATATGATTATCATGAATTATTTCATAATTATGAGAATCAATATCAGTTTAACTGAATTATCTCTCTCTCTGCATCATAAATATTAGTGGGAAATCCAAATGTGAAATGCATCATGCTTCCATTTCAATTACCGGATCAATGCAGTAAATGTATTTCCATGTTAGAGCCATTTATTGGCAGTCAATGGAAACTGCGTATTGACTTCTTTATGTTCTGTACAACCATAATAATCCTGTTTCACGTTTTATTATTCCACACAAAAAAAAAAAAAAGATTTGTGATTACTATTTACAAATGAGTGTTTGTTTGGTATCAGATACAAATATGTAGGGCATGTAGTATGGATGTTGGTGACTATAATATACATTTTAAGATTTGAGCGACCTAAACAAAGTTTAAATTTGGCGCATCTTTAGTATCAAAATGTAATGCAAATACTGTAAACCTTACATTACATTTTCAATTTGCTTAAGAAATAAATCTTAATAACATTGATTAATATAATAAAACGATAAAATAACGTTGTTCAATTAAATTGGTTTAAATGTAAAACAAAACAAAATAAACAATATACATTAGGTATAATAAAAGTTGGAAATGTGAATTTAATTGAAAAATATGAAATTGTTACCTTTTATTTTTCAATTAACAACATATAATATTGAATATACATAGCAAACATTATTAAACCGAAAAGAATTGAAAGTAAAATTAAAGGGAAATTTATTTGAATAATATATTTTTATTTACATTCGCAATTATTGAAATGAATTCAATTAATTTACGAGTAATCGTATACGTGCACTATTTATATTATAATAATTGAAATACGTTTAAATGCAATGTTTTTTTTAATTACAAAACGTGTGAATTTATTGATGATTTTTGTTGTTGTTTTTATAGGTAAACCATTACCGATGGTGATTTGGTATAGGAATGAGCTGCTCATGAGTAACACGAGCGTCGCATTACCATCCGGAAGTACGACTCACGTTCGAAGCGAGTTGCGGATTTCCAATTTGGGGCGTCGCGACGTCCACTCGGAGCTCACGTGTCAGGCGTCCAACAACCCCAGGACCCCGCCGCTCGCCTCCACCCTTCACGTAGACATGAACTGTAAGTAACGAAACACCATCTAACTATGTTTACAGACGAAAACAATGGGGTAAAAAATATATATAGTTGAATGAGTGTTTCCTTTTAACTATAAATCTATTGAAGATTCTTTTGATCCCTTAATTGTAACGACTGCAATTGAATCACATAAAATTACAGTTAACGTAACGTAACGTAACCGAGATTAGTTAACGAACATAATACACTCGGTCCTCTTTTTATGCGGTTTTGAAGTTATGCGGTTTTTATTTCAATTTTGACACGTTTTGACACAAACCATTTCATCGAAAAAGATGATAATTCTGAACGAGCATTCAAGTTTCAACGCGAGCTTCAGAATTGCATTTCTGGATATCGGGAATTGTACAAAAAAAGTAGCAAAGCCATCGCAAAGTTTAATCAACATGCGAAGTTGAGACTAATTTTACTTGTGAAGAATCATTATCTTGAGGGCATAGATCTGATATGCTGACTATCTCTTCTAGTGATGAAAGTGATTTCAAACCAGTTCGCAAATTATGCCGATCACACTCATATAGCGATGATAATTCTAAAGAAAAAAATGTGAAGAAATATTAACTTTCATAAAAAAATTCTGTATTTTTTTTTGTAAATTTTTTCCGTATACATTTAGAAGAAATATGTTAAGATTATATATTTCTGAAATTTAATAAATTTGTCTATGATTGTTAACGTTTTTATAAAAATATGAATAAACATTTCAGAAAGAATATAGTAAGACTAATTAGTTTTCTGAAATTTAATGAACCCTTTTTTATGCGATTTTCGGTATATTCTAACTCATTGATTTATTTTTTTGCGGTTTTAAAAAAATATTGAACGTATCCTTTATTTCTATACGTGTGTCTAGTCCTTTTTTGTGCGATTTATTTGTATGTATGTATTTTAACGTATCTACCGCATAAAAAGAGAATCAAGTGTACATAATTGCGCATTCAGTTAGCATCGAAATTACGCTGTTTTTTTGTCTTTTAATTCGCACGAGTACGTTGATGTTCATACGAACATGCACTTTGTTTTTGTTTATCAAATTCATAAGCATATATAAATTTCTTTATTATTTCTATCAAATACTTATATTATTATAGTTTTTCATAAAATAAGTTTATGAAACAAAAAATAGATTAAAAAGCATCAATCTAACTTACACGTAAGTTAAATTCGCAATATGAATGCTCCGTGTATAACAGCCATCTTCGTACGTTATTACGAATAATATTAATGGAAACCGAAAAAAGAATTCTAATTACTCTGATTTACTAGTGCCTAGGGCCCACGATATTGTTAACGTGGAACACATATTTAGAATTTAGAAAATTTTCTTCTTGTTTCTTATAAATTTTCCTCGATCTCATTTTTTTTTGTTAAATTTCGAAAACAGTTTTCATAGAAAAGTTTTTCGACCGTTTTTTTTTTGAAAAAGTCAATTTTTTGTACAAACTTCAAAATTTGGGTTTTGATAGATATTTGATATAATTTTCCAATCCATCAAATCTTAAGTATGTTTCAAACAAGTTCATAGAAGTAAATAATGTCTGCATTGTTTAGAAAACTTGTAATCATGAATAACTTATATTAGTCATTTAAAACATAGATATTTTTAGTAAATCAGATAGTAGCAACATTAGGAATTTCATCTGTAAGTTTATTGTTTTAGAATGTTATCAGACATGGATTGAAGTGGTATTAAATTTAGTAATTTTAGAGTAAGTCTTCTACGCGTTAATTCTTAAGATGTATATAGTAGTAGCCGACATATTAAATCCTACTTATCTACTTATAATTTACTTCAATTGATGACTTCTGTAAATATCGATTTTGATGCTTTCATTTCAAAGTCTATGACATTTCCAACTACAAATTGCACCAGACTTTGTATATTTTTCGTAACATTGCAATGTTTTATGAGCCCTCCTGGAAAGTATTTGCTGATCCATAGATATAAACATTCCATGCAGACACGCAACTTAATTAGCGAGCTAGCAATTCCGGTTGTCTAATAAGCGTAACTAATTGCGTATAAATCTGGGGGTCGTATGTACGCGTCTCTGGGACTTCCTCAAGCAGTTAATATTTTACGACTTTCGTGGATAATCAATAGAAATTTCTCAACGAAATTTACAGCGAACGTGCGATTAAATTCACCGCTCCTTCCTCTTTTTTTTTATCTCTCTCTCACGTGCACATTCAAGGTTTTTGTTCAATATCTAAATTGGAATATTCAATGTTGGTCGTTTAAATAACTGATTGCATACTGAAACTTTAATTAAAAACCATCAATTACGTCCCGTGCATAATTTAATCCATACATCCGTAACTACTTTGGATCGTGAATAAGTTATGGTTCTGCAGGAATTCTTGGGAAATAATTGTAATGGCAATGTGTTACATAACTAAATGTAACAATTGCTTTTCCAACAATCAATAATAGTTAATTTCAAATCGATTACAGTTAAATTTAAATAAGAACTCTGTAACACGACAGCGCCCGTGTACAAAAAACAAGATTATTATAAATACAAGATTCAGCAGGCTTGGGCGTAAGTCCATGACGTGGGAAGGTTCAGGGCGCCACTTCCTTTTATCGAGAGGAATAACTCTTATAACTTTTTCTTCGGATCAGCACACTTCTTCTCCGACGGTGGGCCTTAGCTCCTCTAGACCACCAACACCGTCCTCTTGGACCTTACAAATATATATTGATATCTTCTCAACTGGAGATCTTGACCACGTTACAACTCGTAATTAGTCTAATTTGAAGTTTTCAAGATAACGTTTCGATAAGCTTCAAAATCTAATCAATTAAAATGTTTTTATAAGCTACTTAGGTCATAATATATAAGTTTTATAACAATTTCTAAGAACTTATTAGAAATTTACTTAAGATTTTTTGTATTTGAAAATTCTATCAAATATCTATCAAAGCCTTAGTGATTTAATGATTATTTCAAATACCGGATTTTCGAATCATAACGATAACTTGATTGAGGAAAATTTATAAAGAACAAAAAGAAATTTTTCTAAAATGTTGTCCCTAGACAATAGTATCTGAGAGTACAGTATATATTTACATTTTTAAACATTTGAAAAACCGGTTTTTAAACATTTGAAAAACCGGTTTTGTTGTTGTAGGAAAATCAAATTTTGCAATAATTTCTTTTTCGATTTCCAATAATATTAATCTATATGCATATTGCGACAATCATATGCATATAAATAATGTTCGCAATGCAGAGAGTGTGTATTGCAATTAGTAATTTAATTGTAAATAGAACAATACATTATGCAATGCCCAGTTGGGGATCTGCTCGCTGTTTGCCTTTTCCCGCGTTACGTAATTGCTGGCGGCGCCCTGCTAATTCCGACATTATTCACATTTAATCCGTCCCCATCATAGTGTGTGTACGTTCTTTATCTTCAGCTCCCCTAAGTGTCTGTCTTCGTAGGCATTCGCAAATCTTCTTTCCGTTTTCTCCCGTCATTGTGTTTGTTCTCTCCATAAAATATATTTACTTCCATTTTCTTACTTTTTTTTTAATTTTTAGATGAAATTCGGAGATTTAATTTTTAATTCCGCATTTCGGAGAAGAAGGCGGAACATCATAATTCGCGTGCAGAGCAGATAAGAAGAATTACGAGTTCACTTTATTTTCTTGTTTTGTTGCTCCGACGCGCGCGCAAACTTTAATTGAATTCATTAAAAATGAACGTAAAGTAATAAGCGAAAAGAAGACCACTCAATTTCGCTGAAACTTGAAAAAAAATGCACTAATCCAAGTCACCATTTATTAATTTTACATGAAAAATAAAACAAAATAATTAGCTTCAGTTTTAAGTAAATGAAATTAAACGTGTCCTATATCGAATTTTATCGCTCGACAATAAATTCAGATATAAAAATTGTGATTGTTTCTGCAGGAAAAATATATAAAAGTTTTATGGAAATTACGTTGTTGTGATTCAATGACGAATTGGACTTTTTACTATCAGCTTTTTTTTTTTTAGACTCGATTAATTTGATTTCGAAATAACCGTATAAGCAGTAAGGATGTAGATGCGAAGAAAATGTGTGTTTGCTCTGTTTGATCAATTTGCAATTTTTGGTGTGAGATGATAAATGAAATTAGTATGTGGAAAATGTTTATCGTTGGTGTCTGTGGTAAAGTGCGAACGTCGTTGATCGAAATAAGTTTCAGTTGCAAACAAACAATCTAACGAGGTTAGACTTTTGCCAGCTACATTTGCAGTCTGTCGACTGGAAGCTGTAAGTTCGCTGCGATGTTTGCCTCTGTTCCATTCTTTTTTTTTTTGGCAAACGTACACAGGGTTTGTTGTAAGGAGAAAAACGAAGGATATACACATATAAAGGAATACAAATCAAATGAATTCACGTAACGTCCTGCCAGGAAGAAAGCAAATGTACACTACACAGTTTGACCGGAAATAAAAGGACTTTTGTGCTTGGATATTTGTAGTGGCACATATGACTTATGATATATTGCTTTGAAAGATTTTATACACATCGGTTTAACAATACTATTTTAAGATATATTTTACAAAATATTCCTTTAAGTCGATATTTTCATCATAAACTATTATTCTAATATTTTCAACAATTCATACAATTTATCTTAAATACTTCAATAATGTAATGTAAATTACTAAAATTAATGATAAAATGCTAAAAATTGAGCTAGAGCATAAAGTTTTTAGGATAAAGCAGAAAACTTTTTATATAGACGTTTGCTTTATTTCATTAAATAATTATTTATAAATTCTTAATTCAAATCTAAATTCTCGAATTAATTTGTGATTTCAAAAAATTAATGAAATTTCAAAGAAATTCAAATTTTATGTTTTTTTTATAAATAATCTAATCGTCTTTGCTGACTATTGAATTTGTTCAGCCTTTACTGTAATTTATTGACTTTCCATCACACTCTTGATAAATACGTATTTTTTAGATTAAAATCTAAATTCTCGAATGAATATGATTAAAATTAATGTGTGATTTCAAAAATATTTCATAGAAAACACATAGAATTTGAAATAGTTCATGATTCTTTTCAATCCCAATCAATTACAAATAATGTTATATAAACTAGTCGTCCTTGCTCAAATTTATGCCTTACTCTCTAGATCAGTGATTCCTAAAGTGGTCTATATCGACCCCCAGGGGTCTATGACAACCTGCAAGGGGTCTACGTCAGCGAAAAAACATTTTGGGGGTCCACGATTGTGGATCTCAACATACACTGATAGTACTTATTTACTTATATTAGACTATCTTATAATATAAAGACATATACATTATTTATAAAAGTACCTATGAAGTAAAAAAATATTATATATGTTTATAAAATTGTATAAGTTGTAGGATGTAGGCATTCGATTTGTGGTCGCAATACATTTTGAACTTGTAAAAACCTATACATAATGATATACCAGTATCATCTTGTTACAAGCATACGCGCAGTCTCAGAGCAAAGATCTTAATAATTATAAAGATCCAGGGGGTCTACCCAAAACCGAAAAACATGGCAAGGGGTCTACGATACAAAAAAGTTTGGGAACCTCTGTTCTAGATAGATACGTATTTTCTATATTCATTCATATATTTTGAAGAGTAATGTTTCATAATTTGTACTGAATTGTACATTTTATTTACTCTTAGATTCAATATAAAAGCTATTGATTAATATAATAGTATGATCAATGTTGATTATCATTGCTAAATTAAATTGATTTAAAATTGTATGTTTTATTCAAACAATTTAAAGTATGCTAAAGCTATTATTTACTCCTTCTTCATTCGATCTGCTTTCATGCTAACAATTACGATTTTACAATACGTCGTATATAAAAGATCTAGATTGTTGAGAGCCCGATTTCGTATCTAGCTGTAAAATGCTTGTGTCCTGGAGATTCCATTGATTTTGCGACCGTTTTTCCGCTGCCCTTTTCGCTGTTTCTTTCTCTCTCTCTCTCTCTCTCTTTATCGTTTTGTACGTGTTAGTTGTTGTTTATCTCTCTTTTTATTTTGGCTGGACTCTATTTACTTTTGTCTGCTTTTCCAGTTGGTCCGCTCGACGTAAAGATCCTTGGTGCAAATCAGCCGCTCTCGGCCGGAAGAAGATACGATCTGCTGTGTCAAAGTTCAGGCTCGAGGCCACCGGCCAGCATAACTTGGTGGCGGAACGGACAGAGGCTGGATAGGACCAAAGAGACGGTAAATATATGGGCATACATGAATTCAATTCCTATACTCTACCCACATCTACACACACGCAGACACCTTCTACATCCTATCCTATCTCATGTTCATCCTCCTATTTTGTTCCTCCAAACAAACTAAAAACAAACTGCATTGTGCAAATACTTAAAGAGATTACAAAGCGCAAAAGTTAAACTATAAATTCGACTGAAAAAAAGTATTTATTTAGGAAACGCATATTCTGACTACTTTTATATATAACCAAATTAGCAGATTGTTCTAATTGAAATCATCAATCAAGTATGTAAATCCATGCTAATTATGTATTAATTGTGTTTCCAACTTCATTTATTCTATATTTTTATTTTGCAATTAATCAATAATCACATATACAAATATGTGATAAATAAAACGCACGAAAATATAAATAAATTCAAATATCCAGAGTTTTTTTTTTATTATGCCATTAAACTTATACAATTTTTACGCTTTTTTTTTGTTTTGGTTTCATGCGCATTTCGCAATATATTGTGTAATGTTCAGTTGACGTTTGCTATTACAATTGCAATATTTTATTAAATATATAGATATACTGTGGTGAAATGTGTGCAGCACATAAATAATAAATATTTAGGGGTCGGTGGAAGATATTTCTGCAATTTTTTATTTGTTCGTCGTGTTTGGCTTTAGAGTTATGTTGGAGAAAATGAGGAATTATTACCGTTGACTGCGGCTTTATCGTCTGGAAAAGTTGGCGTGTGTGTGTTGTGTCCATTTCGCACCTATACGATAGCATCAGATTTTCGTTCTATTCCGAAGGCCCTCCAGTTTTCTTTATATTTTTTTCCTCCGTGAAGGCGAATGTTTCTGGCGAGAGGTGGATTGGACCAATGAATTCGGTTCTTATAGTCGGGGATTAGGAAAGTTGTCAAGTACACACACATATACACACACGCTGGGTAAGAGGAGAAGACCAAGGGGATAGACGTTGTGAGGTTGATAGTGGAGTGAGTGGTGAGGAGGAAGAGAAGGGCTCGAGAAAATCAATTTGGAGAAGTAAGTTTCAACACAAATACCACCTGCTACGGCGTCCTGAATACCTATGGGTCTAATATATCCATTCCATATAGATACATTCTCGTCGTACAGATACACGAGATTCATACACTTGCTTGGAATTTCCAGCACGATAATCAAATATCCTACAGCCTACTTCGTTATTGACACCCCGCCGATACTACCTGTACATCATTATACTTGACAGCTGTCAAAAAAGGCAATTACGTTTAATGTTCAGTATCATTTGATAAGTATTTATCTAGTAATGTACACAAATGACAGTGTATGATTGCATCTGATTACATAATCATCAATGACTACCAACTTACAATAAAACACTGGATTGTTGTGACTATTGGCATTTCTGACACATATTTGATATACAAAAATCGACTTTAAAGAAAAACCGGTTTCTCAAATCTTAATCTTTCGAAAAAACTTTCTAAATTCTAGAATATTACATAAAACTAGAACAGAATATAAGTGATTCATATGAAAAAAAAAAAAACGAATAACAATAAATGACTCTAAAATATCATTTTATTTCTCATTGTTAATCGTCTTTAGAGCATTGAATAATGAGTCCTTCTGTTTGTATCCTTTAATACTAAAGACTCCTTTTTTAAGCAAAATAAATTCACTTCTTTAGGTTCTTGAAGAGATTTTATGAATTGATTTTGGCAATTAAGAATAAGACTTAATTCCTTCCTAATTTTCTGTTTGTTTCATTAAATTATACAATATTACCATTTTTGTCAAAGTGTTTATGTTTTTGATGAAATAATTACAATAATTAATTAATATTTATATTTTTACATATAAACTAGGTTTTTCAAAGCCGAAAAAACTTAATATTTATGTAGCATTAAGTATTTTCGAAACGAGCCATAAACATTCTGAAGAATTTGAAATTTATTGTGTCTCTTTTTTTCTTCTTTCAGACATCGAATGACGGAAACACAACAACGAGTACGTTGTCTTTCGTTGCAAGCAAGGACGATGATGCCAAGTACTTGTCGTGTCGTGCCGAGAACAAAGTCTTGTCGTCGGAGGGCCTAGAGGACGGATGGAAATTAGAGATACACTGTGAGTAGTATCATCCAACTGTTATTGTTATTAGCGAAAGACTTCCGGTCTTCCGGGAAGCATATCCGGTACGAGTATATGGGTGTACACGTTCTGCACTCCCCCTTTCAAGGCTCGATAACGTTAATGTCCGTGAACGAATGCCTTGTCTTGTATACAGCCCGAAACTTTGGCCGCCATCGTTTCATATTACCCAAAAACTTTACTCTCAGACGTAACGGCAAAAACGACCATCAACAAGCGCCAACCTAAACAACTCTTCAACTTTAAAACGTCACTTTAAAATAATTCGCTTCGCGATTCTTTTCTCTCTTGCGACAGTCTCCATTAACTTTTAAACGTATTGAAATTTCCACACTTTCATCACGTTTCTTCTATAACTTGAAAAATTAATATAGTAAAATAAATTTAACAAATCGTGTCATTTTTTGTTGTTGTTGGAGTTATCGAAGTTAAGCAAATTGTTAGAAATAATTGCACAAATAATAAAGTAATGTAATTTACAGGTCTTTCAATTAATAAAACATGAAGTAAATACTTCAATGTAGAAATTTAATTTAATTAATAATAAATAACAAATTAAATTAAATATTGAAAGCAATTGTACAAATATTAATTTAAAAAAAAAACAATTGAATGTATTTTATGAATATAAAATCTGAAGTGAATATTTCATATTTCAGTTTATTCTACATAAAATATTACATTTCAATATTTTTTTTATATTTCCTGAAAATAAACGATATCAAAACTAATAAAAAAAATAGTTTCTCGGGTGATCCCGGGATTTTATAAACTGTCGGATAATCAATAACCCTAATAATTAATTTATTAATTTACTCTTAATAATATTACATATGTTAAGTGTTATCCTTTTAGTGCGCTAATTGTTAATTCTAAATAGATATGTGTATTATATATTTATGGCACTTATTACAAAAGGCTTGATTATCTATTACATTTCTTACAATAACTGTGTTTACTTTAGACAATAATCTAAATATTCGCGTTAAAGTTATTTGCAATGTAGCTGTTTTTATTTTTTTTTATTGCAATTTGTCAGTGCTGTAAACAAAAAAAAATATTTTAATTTAGTTTTGAAGGCATTAATCATGCAAACATGCGTATCGATCCGCATGCATACATTTATATTTCAATTCGTTACATTGCGAAATGAAAAATAATGAAAAAAATAAATAAATAGAGGCGAGTAATAAATAGTAAAACAAACACGTGTATATTTCAGTTTTAAATTTCAAGTGGAAAATGAATATCGGGTGTGCTTCGGTTTTGGGATTTACCCATCGCTGCGGAGGTACAATATAAATATATTTGTATTTAGGGTAAAATAAAATCGAAAATATTTGTTTGAATATTCATGCAATTTATATATCAATCTTTCGCCGTGGTTTTACTTGTTTTTGTTTTGTTTTTTTTGTTTGATGGCGAACAATGTTAATTAAAAACAAAAAAAATGGAAGCAAATAAATATGAATATCACCTCTTGCTTTCAAAACTAATATATAATAATAAAGTATATTTTATTATGAAATATAATATTGAAATCATAATTAATTTCCGTTATCTTATTACAAAATATTAGTATATAAATATTATTATCATTACCTTGATTAAAAATGTTGCGATAACAATGAAACCTCAGATCCACAAATATTTAGTGTACAAGTTCAATTGTCTGTTAAATTTCTTTTAGTTACAATTGCAATTTAATCGTGGGCCGTATAAATGGCGTCGTGGGCCAGATGAGGCCCGCGGGCCACCGTTGATATATTTTTTTTGTAAGTTTTCTAATATGGCACAAATATGCTTTCGTTCGATTTGATTGGATCAAAATTGGCACACTAATTACTCGATCTTCTTCAATTTCCATCTGTTCCTCCCAAACCCCCAATAAATAAATACGCAGACAAGGTTTCTTTGCTTCCTTTCTCTCATTCTTTTATTTATTTTTATGGCTATTTTTCTGTACGCAGTTGGCATTCTTGTCCTACTTACGTTTTCCTCTCTGCTCCTTTATTTGTTTTTATTGCGCTGTGTCCTTTTCTCGCTCCTCCGGTTTTTTTCCCCTTTTTTTTGTTTGCATTCCTGCTTCTCGGTCATAAAGAAAAGATACGACGCCGAGAACTGGGAGCAGATCGACATTTTCAATTCCGTAACAGTTTTTCCATCACAAATCTAATTTTCGACCGGACGATTTTTATTTCGTCGTCGCCCTCAAGACTTACTTTTGCCCTCCCTCCGCATTTCCATTGCACCAACTACTTTAGCGAAACCGCATATAAATAATTTACATTCCTGTTCGAATTCCACGTAAAACTACATATACATTGCCGTGCAAACATTAAATATTAACATTGTTTTAATGGACTTACATATTTCTCACACATTTTGAAACCGGGACTTACCGAAGACTTTAAAACATCATAGAAAAGAGTCTTAATTTATATCGAAGCGGTATATCAATTTTTAATCATAATTTTGCATAAATTTAATTTAGTTTCGAGATAGTAACAAAAACACAGTGGAATTCAATTTCATAATTTAGTGATTATTCGGTGCGATATACAAGTAGAACTGCAATGTTTCAAAATGCTTTATTTTTTTAAATTGGATTTTATTGAACCACAAGCAAAAAATGTTCGAAAACATTAAAATTTTCAATATGGCCACCTATAGCGCGAACTATGGTTCTGTTTGTCGACAAGCGAGTCGCACGCTGCAAGAAAGTGAACCTGCGGAATCTTCCTCCATTCACGAAGAAGAGCTTCCTTGAGCACATCAATACTCTGGTATTTTTTAGTTCTGACATTGCTCTGTAAAATTCCCCATACTAAGAAGTCGAGCAGATTTGCATCTGGTCACCGTGGCCATTGTTGGTTTTCGCGTGCTTTGTGTGATGGTGCAGAATCTTTTTGAAATATCCACTTTTTCTAACTGAAATATTTGGTTACCCGCGGCTTCAGAGCACCTTCCAAAACTTTTTCGTGATAGACATTCGCAACATCTCCTTCGCTCTATCGAGCCTAGTTTAGTCTTGTCCTTTTTGGAACTTGTAAGGCTTCACTTTGAATTCGTTGCCATTTGTCTTCCACTGCGTCACGGATTTCATTCAATTCGAGCCTTAACTTTCCGAACCACTCCTGCCACAGATGTAGTTTTTTCCAACCACCAAAATAGCATTTTGTAATACTACTTCGTTATAACATGGTTTGAGACACAACAGATTTATCACATTGAGATGTTCAAGTGCTGTAACAATAGCCATTGCCAATTTTTGGTTTTCCTCTCAAATATAGGACTATCAAACTATTGCGTTTGATTTTCATCACGGATATTTTTTTTCCAAAAAACTGAGTTGCAAATGCTTCCGCAGACTTGTAAATAATAAAAGCAGCTATCATTTGGTGAAATATGGACACAGTATTAACAGCGATTCGAAAGTTATAGCAGTTCAATTGGGCCATTGTGCATGGTTTCAATGAAACATACAAATCTATACAAAGAGATAATTTTAATTTGAAAATTGTTGCTAAATTTCTGTAATGTTATTTGATATTCACATCAGTTACGTTTGATATAATATTGATAATTCGTTCATTACAAAATACCTCCATGTTTTATTCGTTTATGCATAAATTTCAAAAAATTATATTTAAAATATACAAAATAATTAAAAATTTAAATTATTTTGAAAAAAAAATCTAATTTTAATTGCTAAAAACTGTTATAATATAAACAGAAATACTTCAAATAGTACGAGTAATGGATTTCGCCAATATTTTGCACTGTTTGAAACCGAAGTTACTGGAAAACACTCAAATTTCCATGTTTTATGTCGATTATTGACCGGTGTTCACATTATACAATTGTGCTTTGCATATTATTTGGCGCGCCGGAAAATTGAAATATAAATAATATATTAATTACAAAATAAATATTATACGCAATACGATTTATAACAAAGCACAAACAAATGAACAAATGAACAAATTCCATTTCATTAATAATACACAATAAAATCGAGTTTTATTATTGTAAACTGTACAAAATTTAAATCAAAGAAAATCAATGTGCAATAATAATGGTTTATTTGAGTGACTTTTACGGGTAAAATCGTCATTCTGCTGTGGAAAACCAGATAATTTCCCGGGAGATATTTATAAATTTAAACTACAAAAGATAGTAAACAAAAAGTTATCGCGATCGATGAAATAAGTTGATAATTAAAAATGCAGTCGACCAAGATTTAATTAAATTCCCGCTTGAACGGCGTTTCCTCCGATTTTTCGCGCTTATTAATTTTTTTCCCCTTATTATTACGTCGTGCTGCGGGTAAAACAAATAAGTAAGATAGATGTGATATCAATTTTTGTTTTGTAAACAGTAATAAAGAAAATAGGAACATACATAAACAGTGAGAGAGAGAGAGACAAAGGTTTAATTAATTTCGGACGGAGGCTAATGAAACGAAACGCAGCCTTATTTTGGGTTGTATTGGACAGGAAGCGGAAACAAACGGCCCTTTGTAACACACAGAGTGTATGTGTAAAAGAGAGAGAGAGAAGATAAGAAATGGCACACACATATGCTTTGAAATAGAAGGAGTGATCTTTACTTACTTCCGGGATAAATAAGTTTCGCGATAGCTCGGTTAACTTTACTCCGTTCGCTTTTGGTAATATTAAATTTTAATTGAAAACTATTAGCTTTCGAGGGAAGAAATGTTAAGCTTCTTTGCGGCCGTGCCGCACCTTAGTGCCACAACTTTATGGATTTTATATATAGGATGAAACGAGAAGAAACAGAGAGAGAGAGAGAGGAGAGTTGAGTTTCTTTCCGCTTTCGCGGGAAGCTCCGGCCAAGTTGCCGCCTGTATTTGAAAGTTGCAATTAGTAACAAGTTTTATTGAAAATAAAGGAGAATAATAGCAAAGTTGCTGCGGCGGCGATGGAGACGGCAACGAACTCGACGTAGGAAATTGAAAGAATTATTTTTTAATTGAAATTTACTTTTCCTTATATATTTTGTTCTTCTCTAGACAAAAGACTAAAGTCATGTCTCTGCAGTCTTTGTTTCGTATCTCATCATCAGTAGCTGTTACACTTGAAAGTTTGAGGTGTACGTCCTAGCTAATAAAATTAGGTATCTTGAATAACAATTTTTTGTTGTTAATGTACACAGTTGTATGAGTATTTTTGTGGTTTGATCTGTCGCAGCATTAATTACTATATTCTTGATTTAATAATTCGTTGTTTTCCAAGGGTTGACGATCAAATGAGGACACGTAATAAAAAACAAAAACAGAATTCAACTTGAAAATTATATATTAAAACAAAATGTATATACAAACTGTGTTCATGATACTGATTATATATTTCTATAAGCAAAAAAATGCACAGAATTTTTTTTATGTCGTATAATATTATTCACAATCTGTTCATCAATGTGAACATTGAGTAAATATAAGATCTCAGTTGACATTAAATGGATAATCTTTCCCAGTGGATAGTTACCATTATGATGATTTTGAACATTACTAATTGCTTAAATATTAAATCTAGTGGTTTGCAACGCTTCAGCCTGTTTGTGGTTTCAAAAGCTAGAACATTAGTATGCGACTCTAGTCTATCTTGGTACCTAGTACTAAATGTTGGAATTGTATCCTCGACCATATCTATATGAAGATCTTTGTATATTTTTTTATTCATGACGAACCATGGAGCGCTAATAATATTTTTTAGGCATTTTGATTGAAACCTTTGTATAATTTGTATGTTCGATTTATTTGCCGCACCCCACAATTGGATACCATACGTCTATACTGGTTTCAGTATTACTTTGTATATAAGTAATTTATTTTCCATTGATAATTCTGACCTTTTCCCTAGAAGCCAGTAGAGTTTTCTAAACTTTATTTCTAGTTGCTCCCTTTTAGCCTGAATGTGATCTTTCCATGTGAGTCTTCTGTCTAGACTCTAGATGCATGACTAGATATTTGACTTTTGTTGCTTTGGGCAGATCTTGTCCATTAAGTCTTACAGTTGGGCAGGTCTCTTTCTTTAGCGTGAATGTGATATGCAAGGATTTCATTTCGTTAACTGCTATTCTCCATTTTTTAAGCCATTCTTGTATCTTATCTAATTTTTCCTGTAGATATTCAGATGCTACTGCTGGATTCTCATCTGATGCCAAGATTGCTGTGTCATCAGCGAATGTTGCAATCGTAGTATTGTTAGTTTTAGGAATATCTGCCGTGTATAGAAGATAAAGCAGTGGTCTTAAAACACTTCCCTGCGACACCCTTGATTCTATTGGATATAAATCTGTGTATTCGTCTTATATTTTTACCTGAAACATTCTATTATCGATGTATGATTTTATTCTTTTAAAATAATTATATGGCAAGTTCTTCTTTATTTTGTACAGTAATCCGAGATGCAAAACTTTATCTAAAAAGGTAGCCGAGTAGTATCTTTTACTTTCCAAGTGTACAGAAATGAACACACGAATGTCCCGAAAGATCTAACTGGAACACCGGTTAAAATCGTGAGAATCCCGATTAATCAGTACATTTGGCAACAAGGGACATGCTTGAATTATTTATTCTAATTGAAAGTTGGAAAAAAATGATTTAATTTCTTCTTTTTTTACAAAGTTATAAAGTTTATTATACATAATGACATGTATCAGTCGGTTTTCAATGGACGAGAATGAAAATCGTGAATATTAAACGTAAAGCTATCATTTAAATGAGACTAATTGGAAAACGGAAATTAACAATTGCGAATTTTTAATTTTCCGTCCGCAAAGTAATTAAAATTAACAATTTATTGCGACAATTCTGTTGTTTGCATTTTCATTTTAATTAGTGAAACGTAATTCCGTGTGGCATTAATAACAATAGTCGTAAAATGCGATGCGAAAATATTCAAATAAGAGTCAATTAGACTTTCGGTCGCATCGAAATTAATTTTCGCGACGGATTTGTTTGAATGGCTGCGGGTGAATGTCGTTGCTGTTTGTTGGCCCCCTCACGAAACGTTAATGCCGCGTGTATTGGCGGCGATACGGCTAAAAGGGAACGGCTTAGAGGTTCAAAATGACAGTTTCCGGTGATATTATCCGAGCCAAATTAGGCATGGAGTTTGTGAAACAGTGTATATTATATACGAGAGAGAGGATGTGTATGTATGAGTGTATGAGAGAGACAGTAAAATTTCTGTGGTTCTGTTGCAGATACGCCAGAGGCGAAGATAATTCTGGGCACATCCCTAAATCCGGACAGCATCCGCGAAGGGACCGACGTCTACTTCGATTGCATCATCAACGCCCACCCCCATGTCTACAAAGTGGAGTGGAGACACGATGTAAGTAAACCAAAACCACCATTCATCCATCCATCCATCCATCCGTTAGTCTGTCCGTACCCATTCCAACCCCATCTATCCATCTGGTCCACGAGATGCGCCCATTCGACCCTAATCACGTTGCGCCCCGAAAACGAGCATTCCTCCACTAATTCACACATTGACATTTGAGACAATTCAGATGGCATTAATTGGGAGTGTAACTATTGCAGCACCCAATTGCTTTCAGACACGTTTCCGACATTCCCACTAAATCTTACTTCGTGCGCAATGCTTCATTATACAAAGTGCATACCATTACAAAATTCATCTTCACTCACATCTATTATTTCTCTTTACTTCTCCTCTCCTTAATAATAAAACTTGCAGTTATAATGGAAACTCTCAAATCTTTGAAACATGCTAAATATTAAGTATACAACTAATCAACTTGTTTCTTAACCTACATAAGAAACAAATAAATGTTAATCTAATTGAACATTCACGATTGCTTACAGACGTTATAATGACGATTTCTAGTGAAAATGCTTACTTTTACAAATTATTAATTCTATGAATCTTTTGAATTATTTTATATATTTTTTTAATCAAAAATTTCTAGTAGTTAAAAATTGAAAAAATTTGTAAACCAAAAATTTATTAAACTTTATCTGTTCTAAGGAGAGATCATCAACACTTCAATTTTCAACTTATAGAAGTTTTTGATTAAAATAATTCATAAATTTAAATTGATTTTGGTGATATTCGGGAATACACTACATTTATTTAGTTATAGAAATTGATAGATTTGGGAAACAATTATTTTTGTTATAAAAAAAAGTATAGATCTGATGTGAGTGTTTGAAAAATCATAAAGGCCCTAAGTAAACATTAAATTTGTATCAACTTATACTAATTGACATAATGTGGCTTTAATCAGTGCGAAATCATTTGAAAATTTTAAATGAAACTAAAGAAAAATCCAATTTTTAATAAGTAAAAAAAATATTATTTATATTAAACTTTGGAACTACAATACTTTATCAAATTATTATTACAGAATATTCAGCTATTATTTCCATTGTTTCATTAACAATTATTGCTCCTATTTTTTTTTCTAATTATTAGTAAATTAGTAGCCTAAATATTTCAAATAAAATTATGCTTTATCGACTTCTGTTCAACGAAAATTTAACAATTTTCAAACGCAAACTATTAATAAATAATTATTTGCATGTTCGGTTTTCATCACGAAAACACATATTATTATTTAATCATGATTTAATTGTTTATTACGAGAGAAACATTACAGTGATGCATTGAAAATGAAATATTTAAATATCGAAACGGAAAATAACAATAATATTAACATGCAGCTGATAAAAAAAAATTATAAAAATATAAAATTTGTAAACATAAAACTCTGCGATTCGCGTTAAAGTGATTAAACACTGGAGCACGCAATTTTTACAAAACTATGTACGTGTACATGCCTATATGCGTTGTGCTAAAAAAGAAATATATCAATTGTACTGTGCACGCGCACATAAAGTTTGTCCTGAAAATAGTGGGTGTGAAAGAAATCGATAAATATTTATGTGAAAGGAAATTATTATTTGTGCTGCAAAATAGGATATTTTAATATTTCAATCTCGACATCAAAAGCGTTTTAGTTTCAACTAAATTGATGTCTCCTTTATCAAAGAACATTGTTGTGTTTTGTTTCGTGACTTGCTTGTATCAATTTACTTGAAATTCGAAGTGCTTTTTCCATACATTTTATTTACTGGCAAAGCTATTTCCATTTCATATGAATAAAACAAATTCACGTAAAAAAAATTATTTATAATTATTATTAGTATTTATTCACTGTATATTTTATACATTTATAAATTTTCATAACAGCAAAATATCTTTTATAATTGTATTATGTTATTTGTAATAATTTTAAATATACAGGATATATACAGGTATATAAATAGAAGATAATTCTGGAAGTTGTTAATATTTCAAAGTTAGTTTCTCGACAAAGTATCTTATACATATGTGACACACACGACACCTTTATTCATAGTGCATGGAACGTGACCCTGCACGCTAACTTTGGAAGAAAATGTATGCTTACACGAATTCCCAATATCATTTGAAAGATCTCTGTGAAGACACGCAACGTATATTGTGGAAAGTGATGCTACGACATCCAGATAAAGCATTTTATAATAATTTTCTACATGAAAAAGAAAGATGCAAGTTGATGATTAATATTAATTGTATATAGAAAACAAAAAGAAATGATCAAGATGTAACAAAGAGAAAGGTAATTCAATGTACAAAGATAACATTTTTGAGATTATATAATGTATGATGAGACTTATCCAGAGGGGCTCTCCTGTGTACGTGTCTGACTGCAAATTACGTTAAGTTGGGACGAGAACCTCCTCACATATTTATATTCGCTCGTTTTTTTTTTTCTTGTGTCTTTCTTTTCTGGCATCCGTCTTTACCGCTTCCATTGCTATATACCCTCTCTCACATACAGTCTTTTCCGTTGCAGGGCAAAATGTTGAACCATAATGTGGGGTCCGGAATAATAATCAGCAATCAGAGTTTGGTGCTCCAAGGCGTTTCCAGATCGACGGCCGGGAATTACACGTGCGTCGGATACAACACCGAAGGGGACGGAGAAAGCGGCGCCTTCTACCTCAACGTCATGTGTAAATAAGGAAATCCTGGATAAACATTTCCACAGATTTATCTAAAATTCTGATTTTTCCTTGCAGTTTCCCCGACATGCAAACCGAACCAGGTGCGGATTTACGGTGTGGCCAAGCAGGAGCGCGCCCAAATCTCCTGTCTGGTGGAGGCGAATCCACCGGACGTCCAATTCCGATGGACATTCAACAATTCAGCGGATTCCGTCGACGTGGCACAATCGCACATCGCCAGAAGTGGAACATCCAGCGTCGTCTCTTACACCCCGATGACCGAATTGGACTACGGCACGCTCCTCTGTTACGCTTCCAACCGGATCGGACATCAGAGAGTACCGTGCGTCTTCCACATCATCGCCGCAGGTATGGAATTTCTAATGTTAATTCTCTCTTCCCCGACATACTGCTGCTTGCTCGCTTGCACACAAAGGATCTGATGATACACTTTTTTTTCCTTCATTTTCTTTTTTACCCTCGTCGTCTTACATTCTCCTCCTCTTTTTGCTGTCGAGTTTGTTCGTCCGTGACTTAACTGTCTATCGGAGGAAGGGATCACAAAGTCCGGCCGTCCATGAACCAGAATAAACGATCTTAAAGACACTGCATTACGAGGGGAAGCCGTATAAAAGTTCCGCGACACGAAAATTTTATTACGTAAAGTCTCCTCCTATACGGACCTCTGCGCTACGCTTCTTTTTTTTCACTTCAATCTCATGTTCTCCTTTTTTGTTCGTTGTTGTGTTATTTTTCCTTTTCTTCGCTTGTCTTGCTTGCTTTTTATTCGACTGCGGCAAATCCACGGAATTTATTTGCAACAAAAGATTTACGTTTATTGAAATCGTTAACAAAGATTCATTTCGTTACGAAATTGATTCGGTTCCAATTCCACTACACTTTTATATTCATTAGTTTATACTGATAACTTTGATTAAATGAATAATAGTAAAATATTTATATAAATAGGAATGAAATTTTCAAAGTAGAAAACATCAAATAATCTTTTATTATTCAATGGAAACTGTTCACCTAATTCGTGAACAAATCTGTTCATTTATAATTAAAAACTTTGAGTTTATTTATAAAATTAAAAGAAACTAATTTAAAAGTTGTGTTTTCTCCTGAAATCATGTATATTTACAATTGAAATTATTAGGGACTTTAAAATTCACGTTACGTGTTTACAGTTGAATGACACGTGATTGATTAAAAGCTACAAAACATAAATAAATAACGGCGGGTGCGAAATACGAAAGCGAAAACACAGCGGAGGATTAGCGCGATCCGTAATCCGGGGGAATCTGTCACCATTGTAATAATGACACCTGTCAGGTGCTGATTGCGAAACGAGAAACGATGCGCCGATGTGGATAGAGTGCGTCCATACAATTTTGTGATGATGATGAAAAATTAAGGTGAGCAAAATATCGATAGAAAGAAAAACCAGACGATCTCGATTACAAAGTTTTCGGGGTTTCAGCGGTGACGAGAGCATGCAATTTAAAATAGAAAAGATCTCGGAAGACTCGTTCTACCTGAACCTGCTGCTGGGTCTGCCGCGCATTCTGAATCGTTACCGGAAGTACGGCGTAAAATGTCACTACCTGAAGCGATTTCCGGCTCTGAACGAGGACGACATATGCATGTGGGAGCACGAGAATGCCGTCCTTCTGCCATCCGATTTGCGCAAATTCTACACATCTTCGAACGGGTTCCTGTTCAGATGGGCAATGAGCATAGGCAAAGAAGACACGGATATTGTCGGAACTATAAATATCAATGGTTTAGGAGATTTCGTGAGGACGTTGGCCTTCGATAATCCGCCGGAAGTGTACAGGGATGGACAGTTCACCGTTCCCCAGATCGGTACGCACATTAAGGCCTTCGAGCTCGTGTCCGTTGGTAGCGTGTTCAAGGTGATCATGGTCTATTCGAGGTACAAGTTCGCTAATCACGTGTGGATTTATACGAAGGAGAATCAACTGTCGTACCTGACCAGCGATTTCACAGCGTACTTTAAGATGTGCATCAGTCATTTGGGTATTCCCAATTGGCAATTGCTGTACACACCTGAGGGTCCTCCACAATGGTCGCACAATGTTGTCTCGCTTTTGGCACCGCATCTGCTGCGCGTTAGAAAAAGCGATGATCCGCCGAAACGTTTGCGTCCGCAGAGATGCATCAACAAGCTCGATCCTAACGTCTTCAAAGCGAACTACATGTCGCACAGGGAAGATCCTAAGTATTCGCCCAAGAAACGACTGACCGAGAAAGACAAACCCGGCAAATCCAAACCCAGAAGATGATCATAATATTCACAAAATCTAAATTCATTGTTAAATGTCCCTTAAGTAAATCACTTAATACAAACAATTCTTTCTTTTTGTATACCTATTACATGCAATTATAAGAAATGTAATTTTTTATTATAAATCTTAAAATTTGATAACTTCTTACTTTATTTGTAATTATCGAATTTGAAAAGAAAATATTAAAATTATGCTACGATCCGCGCTTTGAAAACTGATCCAAAGTATAAGAAACTGTGTTTTTATGCTAGTCAGGAAGACCATAATAAAAAAAGTAAACATAATACTTTTAATCGCATCCCGATGATGCTTCTTCTCCACCCGCGCGAGAATCACCAAAAAAAAAAAAGATATTTGCCTTTACGACTTCCCGACTTTCTCCGAAAAAAGAAGTCCGCAAAGCCCAGTTTTATTTATATATATATACAATAAAAGTCATATATCATATAATTTCATCGCCGCGGGGTTTTATATACGGAATATCCGTATCCTTCTGCAACACACACACACATCTCGCAGTGAGCCATGAATATTACGGCTCTTTCCGAACCTCACTTTTCGTCGTTCCCTTTTTCTTCTTTTTTTTTATTTATTCCCAACACGAGCCATTTAACCCAACCCCGCTTATCGTCGGGAATCCGGGCACTCGATTTCACCTCGTCAAATGTTGACTCATTTGATTGGTAAAACTGGAATTAATGTTTTATCGAAAATATATGCATTCACTCATCAGATACGCTTTTAATTAAGTAAAAGGATAAAAAATAATTTATTTGAGAAAGTTTTATTCTCTAATTACTCTCAGTTTTCTTCTATACTTTTTCATGATATTTAATGCAAATTAAATTTTAATTTTCATGAAAGTGTATCAAGTTTATAAACTTTACACCCTTTGTTTTTGTGTGTGTCAATTTATAATTTAAATATAAATTGATTTAAGACTAGTATAATAAATATAAATCTTACTAAATAGAAGAAGTGAAAAACTTTATGGATTCCGACTAATGCATACCAGCGTTTCTCAAACTATTGGTTATAGTAAATTATTATTATTTTGCTGAAATTACAAACATAAATAATGTATCAATTAACTGCGATCATTTGCACAAATGATTAATAATTTAAAAAAATAACAAAAATATTCTTAATGTCGAAGTATATTAACAGTTCATCTAATGATTTCGACAAGGGTAGGTTTTTTAATTAAAAGAAGGAAAAAACATTGTTTCGGACAGTTCCCATTAATCTCATTCAACTAAGAATCGGGGAGTGGGGTGGAAAAAAAAAACTTGTTTAACGAAGACAAGGAAAAAAGGATCTGTTGACTCTTGGTATTCGTTTTAGTCAAAAAAATATGCTTTAATTGCTAAGAGTTAGAAATGAATTTAAATCGGTTTTTTTCTTTATTCATTAGTGGAAGAAGAAGGAGAAGAAGCGAAAAAAAAACATACGGAGGGAGAAAATCCATTAAATATTTGATTTTTTTTCTCTCTCTGTCTCTCTCTTCGTTCTCATGCAGCTTCTTTTTGCTCGTTCTTTGCTGGTGGCACAGGGGGAATCATCATTAATTGGCAGCCCCGAGGAGGACGATTCGACCTCTACGCATTATCCGCATCCTCCTGCTGCTCTTCCACCCCCCACCATTTCCTTCCTTCCTTCACCCGGCGACAATATTTCCGAATCCTTGAACTCTGGAGCGCACATCCGCCCAACCAACCAACGTACTCCCTCTTTTTTTTTCTCTTTAAACGCGTATAGTTCTCTCTCCCTCTTCGGGTGATATTACTTTTTTATTGTCCCACGCACCGTACCTCCTCCTCGTCCTCTTTTTGCAAAACAAAGGACACTTTCATTTCATACACAGAAACGCACACAAATGAGTATAATAAATATATAATACGAATAATAATCCGTGTGTATATATATTTTGGAGAGAGAAAAATGCGATGATAACGTCGAAATTGTATTTTCTTTTTCTTCTAACGATGCAATTCGCAGTTTTTCTTTTGGTATCCGTTAGCCAATTTTGAATAAACTGAGTGTGTTTTTATGTGCATGATTTATGTTATCAAATTTATCTCTTTTTTTTTGAAGAAGAATATTATTCTTTTCTTTATATCATTAATAATATTATTATATTATTTCAATCTAAATAGAAAATTAAATAAATAATTGTATAATTCAAGAAAATTTAATTCAAATTGCACAATTTTTCCTTAATTATTGAATTATACAATTATTTGTATATATTTAATGTACAACTTATACAAAACCTCATTCTACATGTTTCAATATAGTTTACATTTCCTTTGTATAATTATCTTTTGTATAATTTTCTTTCAATTTGTATAAAAAAGTAATTGTTACTTTTCGACATTGTTTTATACTTTTTCTGATATTCACGTTTTGTTAGGTAATATTTTTCACCTACTTATTGATTTCATTTAGTTGTTTCTTTTACGTAGTAAATATTAATTAAATTAGAGAATAGTATATACAGTTAGTATATATATTCGATATTTTGTATATACAGTCAACCCTCCTATAATGCGGTACTCTCAGAACGCGGTTTCCATATAACACGGAACTGAATTTGCGACAGCCCTCCTATAACGCGGTACTCTTACAGCACGGTTTCCGTTCAACCGCATCCCATAAGTTCCTTCCGCGCAGCCTATGAATGACTCTAGTAACTGGATATTCTAAGAGATTTTAATATAAGTTTTATTTTACCCTTACTCAAGTGTGGATGGAATGTTCTATTTTAGATTGTATTAGAACTGTGTCATCGGCTTAAATTAAACCATCAACACTTAATTCGTGTTGGAAACCTCTTTTACCTGAAATGGTTCAAGCAATACAAGATGATTCTACAATTTCACTCCCAGTTACAGAAATAGTAAACATTGCTTCTCGTTTAAGCGATGAAGAATTTGCAATAAACCATTAGGATGTAAGAGAACTAGTACTCGGGGAAGAAACTTTAAATGAGGAAGAACTGATGGAATTAATTGATGCATCAACCTCAAATGCGTTGGTAAACGAAAATAAGGAAAAGGAATGGGTGCCAAATCTCGATTTACAAGATGTGAAAAAAGGGCTAAATTTGGCTAAATAATTAGAACTTCATTTTATTCAAACTGATCGTTCAACGGTGCGCAGCGCAAAGTTTAAAAGAGAGTTAAGAAATTGCTTAGCTCCCTATAGAGAGGTTTTAGTGGAGTTAGAAAAAAAAAAGCTACAATCGAAAACCAATGTGAAGATGAACTGAGTGATGAAGACATTTTACCCATTAAAAGAAGGCGAGTTAGGCGACTCATATCTGACAGCGAGGATGAGTGTTGAAAGATTACATAATCTTTTACAAAAGTCTTCATTGTTTTTGTTGAAAAACAGTCTTTTAGTTTAGTTCTTGTTTAATTTTTTTTTATCAATCCTTATATGAACTCTTCAATTCAATTCAATAAAAATAATTTATAATTTATCTTGTCTTTTGTATTTATTGGTCTCCATATAACGCGGTACGAATGATGTGATTTGTACTAATTCCGAGTTTCTTATAGCGCGGTTTCCATATAACGCGATACGCACTTACCGCGTTATAGGAGGGTTGACTGTATATTCGTATTTTGAAAATTACGAACCGAACTATAGTGAATCCGGACTATGCGAGGTATTGCTGTGTTATGTTCATGAAAGTGATCGGTATTATCAGATTAACTATGGAAATTAGTAATCTAATTGGAAATATTACTACTTGCACTGTATATTGTGTACGTGTGAACAGAAGAGTGACAGAATTTCGTAGCGAAAATGTTGACTTTAAAAAAAATGCAGTTGTACGGCCGTGCACATCGGAATGGCACGGCGTGATAAATAACGATGACGTAATTACCTTAGGGAGTAAATGACGTTGATTGGATTAGGATTTCATCTGGTTTGCCGTGCTCATGTGAATATGTGCTTGATGCACATTCGCTGCATGAATTCAGGCCCAGTCATGACCATAGAGAGAGAGAGAAATGTAATTCATTCATCATCCCATTAGTTACTCTCGTGCACTTCGCATCCGAGATCTAATTTAATTTCATATACGGAATATATTTTTACATACATGCATGCATGTGGAACTGGATACTTTAATGACGCAAACCTATCATTCCACTGGGTTTAGCAAGTTGGCAGAGAAGAGTTTCTTCTTTTCCTTTTTTTTTTCATTCATTCATTTCGTCCTTTTCCATTTCCTTTCGATCTCTTTATACGTCTCTTTCTCTTTTTTTTATTCCATTCTTTATTCCATCTTCTACCTATGCCGGAAATGCGAATCGTATACGTATATTTCGTTCATGTAAATTCTCAGTCTGAGGATATTTTAATGGGATGCCGGGATGGGGGGGCGATGTGGCGTTATTTCGGCGGCGGCGGCAAGGGAAAAGTTCAGTGCAGGGAAGAAATATTACGGAAAGTCGTTGTAAAGTAATTAAGGTCCCAGTTTTTTCTCAGTAGATTAGCGCAGGACGTGCGACCCAAATCCACCCACGAAACCCAAACGTATATACGAACACACACTAACACTCACAAAACACATACACCGGAGAAGCCCACCGGTTCAGTCATTATAACTTCATATCAGAAAATGAAGAGAAGAGTTTTTTTTTTGTTCTTGCTATTAACGAAACTTTCGTTGCTACATCCATAATCCCTCGCTAATACCAATGAACCAATGAAATATTAGTTAACTTTTTTTAATCGTTCTCTGCGACACACCATAAATCTTCAGCTTACAAATAATTTCCATAAATCAACTTTAGTTTAATTATTTACCTCAAATTTTGTTAAATCTGTTCCTAAAGTAGAAAAAAGTATAAGATTCTATAAATTTAATTGTTTTTAGAACAATTTCAATTAATCCGATTTCAAACAGTGCAATAGAATGATTGATTTTTGGAGTTTACAAAGTTTGCTTTGAATGACGTTTTCAATTACTAACTTGTGATAAATTACCTTAAAAAAAAGTGAATCTTCTATTGGAATTAATTTAAAGTTATGAAACTTATAATTTCAGCTTAAAATATTTTAATTCATTGCGTTTATATACAAAAAAAAACTATGATTAATTTAGCGAAATGTTGTATTTAAAAGTAATTATTTTTTACCAAATTAATTTATTATATAATAATTACACTAGCTTTACTAAATGTATATGTATTTTGTGCATCAATCGATATATTATTTTAATGAACATTATTTATTCGTGTATTTATTATTATTTCAACCATCAACCGAATATATCATTTAATTCATTTTGAATACACACTCAGACACACACCAAAACCGTTACGTATTTATTTATTTACAATTCATTTAGCCTAATTAAAACGTGGACGCTAAATTAACTTTTTCAATTTTGCAGTATACAGGGTGGGCAATTTCGGAGGTAATTATAATATCATTATAATTACATAGCAGAAAATTTAATCATTTGCGTAATAATTGAAATGTGTTAGCGGGCCGTGTAAAGTTGATAGGGGCCAGTAGAGACTCGCGGGCCCTGATGTAGATTGACAATTAATTACATATAATGAATTATTATTATGATTAGTGTTTCAGATAGATAACGTACATTTACTTTTAACATTCATTATATTTTAATCAGTATAAAAAAAACATTGAAAAGTGAATATTTTAATTTAACGATTTTCGTTAACAAATCGTTTATGGTTAACGGAGATTCCGCACTTTGCGAAGTTATATCTTTTTTTTACGTTGGAACAGTTTTCTTATTGTTCTCGTTTTCATTTTAATCTCCTTCGCTAATAATCTTTAATTTTTACTGTCTCCTCGTCGCTCTTTTCTTTATCTGGCATATAAAGTTTGTTTATTTTCTTTCATATATTTTTTTTCATTGCAGGACGTCCGGACCAAGTGCACAACTGCACAATTTCAAACATTTCTATGACATCTTTTTCAATAAGATGTTCGGAGGGTTTCAACGGAGGATTACCTCAGTCTTTTCTGCTCGAAGTAAGTAAATCGCATATATCTACAACACTGCTGCGAAGTCGTCTTACTTTGCTTGAGATTGTGTTTCTCGTCTTCATCTTTCCTTTGTTATCATATAGTGGACGCACATATGCAGTATTTAAAAACTTAGATTTTATATCTTATTCACATGTCCACCATAATCTTTCATGTCAAGGCAAATCTACCATGATTTTCATGTCCCGGCGCATCTACATAATTTTTCATTCATCATAATAGTAATCATTTCATTACTATTTCATAGATTTATTATTACAGTTTCTTTCTATTTCACGGTCTTAATGAAAAGAAAATATTTCTTTTGCTATAAGATTATGCACAATTCAAAGCTATTTTTTCTCATATATATTTTTTTGTTGTTGTTGCTTCTCAAAGACTATAATTAAAAGTAATAAAGTTGTCCCGAGGGGCAATTACCAGAATTGATAACGAGAAAATATTTGACGTCCAATTACCTAAGCTCCATTCACTAGATGTAAAATTTGGCGCAAAAGAGCCCCTAGCCCGAGCCATGTCATCAACAAAATTCAACCCTTACTTTCTTCCCCCTTCAAAACGCCTGTTGTTTCAATCCTCAAGTTTGTTCGCTTCCTTCGTAACTTCCGACTTCTTAATTGAGTCCGCAGAAAAGTCTACAATATTGTATATGTTTTGATTGAGGAAACCAATTTAAAACAATTTAAAACTGGAAAGTTGTTAACCAATACTTCTGAAGTAAGTTTTATAGTGCATGGGAAAAGTAAGTGCACGAGAAGTTATGGAAACTATACATCTTCCATCTACTCTACAAAAATTCTCAAGAAATATTTGATAAATTACTTGGCAAATATCAAATTCTCAAAACCAATTTCATAAATTAATTGTTTAGTATTTGTTTGCCAAATCTATTGATTCTTATACGATTTGTTTTGTGTTTTCGTTTAGGTTCGTGAGAGTCATAGCCAAGAGATGAAGAACAACCTGTCATCGCCGGTGGCCAGGTTTGCAGTGACGGGTCTCGAGGCGGGCGCCCAATACCAGGCTGGTGTATTCTCCTACAATTCGAAGGGTCGCAGCGAACCCGTCATCCTGCAGGCTGCAACCCTCAGGCTACCCGAGAAACAATTGACTGCTGAGAAGGGTGAGTGACGGTTTCCAGAAGCAAATTAATGTTTGCCCGATGCGAATGAAAAAAAAAGGGAACAAGCAAAACAAACAAAAACAAAATCGAGCTTTAACGTTGTTAAATGGAAAAATTTCCGCAGGACAAATCCAAAGGTAAAACAAGATTCTGCTCTATACCTTTCAATAGGAAACAAAAAAAATAATCGATAGTCCTGATATTTTGTTTTTAGTTTGTTCACTTGTATTTCTGCTCGAATTGAATATATGAAAACAAAGAGTTTCATTTAAATTACAATATACGAATCATTTTTTGCCGTTTTTTAAATTTGTCTATATTTTTGTCTAAAAGTAAATAAATTTTGTACTTTTTTAACTATAAAATGCATAACTGCTTGTTGCTATTACATAATTACATTCCAAATGAGCAAATAGATTATAGATTGAGTTTATATATCTAAAAGCTTCTTTTCATTCTTAACTAGTTTTCACGTAAAAAGCAACTAGAGCTTAAAATCTTTTTATTCTCTCTGCAAATCAATATTTTCTTCAGGTGTATTTTTATATGTTTGGTAGTACAATCAATTTGTTTTTGATTGATTCCTAACCTTTTCTCTTGAGACACGTAACTTCTTTCGTTTACAAATATACTTTAGCTCTGAAAAAAAAACACACACAAATTGATATTTCGAATCTAATATTAATTAAATTTCATGATTAATTAACGTTTATTTCTATCTAAAAAATAATTTAAAATGTAATTTACTTTCAAGTTATATTTACTGAACTATTTAATGGTTTTTAGTTGTTAATTAAATTCGCAATTAATTTCTGAGTTAAATATTTTGAATTATTTCAGTTGTTTAACAGTTTACGGACGAGCGGCAAATATACCCGCCAAACATTTTATATAGGAAAAACTATGTTTGTACATAATTTTATGAATAACACTGTGGGGCGCAGTCATTTTCTTAGCAAGACGTCATCAGTTTTTTTTTTTCATTAAGTTTTGACTTAAATTCTGTATAATTGCTACAGTTTTCCACTTTTCGTAATAATTTTTTTGTTATATTTGTTATATTTTTTCTTTGATTTTGAGTTATTTCTGAGCTGTTTGTATGTACTAATAATATTATAATGTTTTACTGTCAGAAATATCTAATAGGGCAAATTCGTCAGGATTTATGCAATTCGCAATAGATTTTAATATAGATTGTTTCGTTTTCTGTTTAGAGAGTCAACGTTCCGGATTCCGGTTCACGCCGATGATGAGTGTGTTGATCGGCGTTGTTTCTGCCCTCTTGATCGTTGCTTTGGTGGTGATCCTGGTATTGAGGTTGCAGTGCAATCACAACGAGGGTCGCCGGAAGCGCCACAAGAATGGACAGCTGGGGGCGGGTGGTGCCGGCGGCGGGGGAAGCGGATCCGAGCACAGGGGCTCCACCAGCGGCCCCACCTTCAGTGACAAAGGGGGTAAGTTTCCGGCGGTCCGAAACTCGCATCCAGCAGATGAGGAAGTTATTAATTAAATATCACTTGAGCCTCTCTCTCTGCTTCTGCCTCTGCTTCACGAACTTATTATTAGTACACAAGGGAAAATTATTGTCGTCCGGTGATCAATGGATCCGCAGAACAACAAACTGTATTAGGCGAACAATCGTAAAACGCGATTCAATCACCATTACCACTAGCTCACAAAGCGATCATCAAAACAAACAAACTTTTTCATAACGCACAAATTCTTGATAAAGACAAATACATAAAAAGGCATCAATTTTATTCACTAATTAATTTATAGTTGTCCGTAAAATGCAGTTGTATAATTACACAACTATGTCTCTTTTCATATATTGTGTGATTGCAGCGACTATAAAGTAAAAATTAGGTTATTTTTATAAAAATAGACATTATGCATATGATTAATCTAAAGAAAAAAGTATCAAATATCAATATTTTTGGGTCAAGAAAGCAGTCCTAAGAAAAACAAAACATAAAGATTGAGACTAAAAATACCATTATTTTTCTTAATTAGCAAGTGTTAATGTATTTTATGTGTAACTAAAACAACTCATATTCTTATAAAGTGGACCAGTAAATTTGAAAGGTTGGACATCCCTGGTCTGGAAGAATTTGATCAATTAATTAGGAAATTGAACTAATAACTTTAGATGCATTTTAATGTTCAATATTTTGTAAAGTTTTCGAACTTTAATTAAAAAAAAACGATCATTAATGAAAAATTAAAAAAAAATCTTTTGAAAATTTCATAATGAATCTTAACTAGATCGAAGCCGCACTATGCGAGCTATTTCTGTACTTTATATAGTCTAGTATAAAGGAAATCCTTTCTAAATGCTATGAAGACCTTATAAAATTTTATTTGTTTGCAAATTATAGTAATAGAAATATTTGAAATATTATTAACAAAATTAGTGAATCAACAATATAAATATTTAATGTTATTATTTGCTTGTGAAATTATATATCTACAACAAAAAAAATTAAAACTAAAATGCAAACTGCAAATACAGGAGAAGTCCACTAAAGCAGAATATCTGCAACAAAGCGTTGATATATTGTCCAGTATTACGTCCAAATTGATATACGCCATCAGCATTCACGGAAACACTACGAAATGCAACATTAACAAAATAGGACAACGACAGAAGAACAAACATCAAAACATATTTTTAAAACGAGCCACGACAGCCAACTATTATTTAACAAAATTTATTTATTCACACCAGTTAAAATATTACCTTATTTATTTATATTACATAAAATGCATTCAAACTATAAATTTATCCAAAATTAATTATTAATAATTCTGCAGATTACCTTCAACTATTATGAATAATGACAGGTTGAAATGTTTAACATAGAAAATATTGTTTCTAATCAATTTACTGCGAAGTGTGCGCTGCTCATTTTTTGCTTCAATTGTCATAAATGTTATTTAATTGTCTGCCTTGTCACCTGTTTAATAATATTTTATATTAATGATCTCCCGCTTAATAAACGAGCCGTTTATTTTTTTTTGTCGACGTCCATTAGCGAAAGCTGACGATTCTCGTTTGTTTCGCTTAATGAAAACGCGTTATAATTAAATAATCTTTAGATTAATGTTGGTTTCTGCCTCTTGCGTATTAATATCTAGTAAACTGTTAAAACCATTATCTTTCTCGATTTATTGTATTCCTTCTGTTTGCAATAATTTCATTTTGCATTTAAATGCAAACATTTATTATTTTGTTTAATGCGTTTATTAAATAAAAATATTATTATTTCCAATGCGTTTGCATTTGAATTCGTGTAAATAATAATTGTATAATTAATTATTTAAATGTACCGTTGTTTATGTTAATACAGAACGCAAATAAATTAACGTTGTATATTTTTTTTATATAAAAAAGATTAATTGGGAATTTGCGCATTTCCAATATCGAAATGTTTTATTTATTATAAAAGTGAAGTATATATATAATAGAAATTATACATTTTGCGGTTTGAAATTAATTCAATTCAATTTACTTTATGTAAAAAAAATCATTTTTAGTTTAACATTTTCCCATATATTTACGATTATTACCAATCAAGTGTGCCGAACACTAATGTCATCTGTTATATAATTTATACACCTATTACTGATAAAATGGAGCTTCCAGTATTTAATATTTAACCGTCATAAAGATCAACTCTTTGAACTGAAATTGATATTTAATTATAAAAAAAGTAATTAGATAACAAGATTTGACATTTGCTGAAAGGCATTCGTGCGTTATATTACCAGTTGTCATTTAGAGTTGTAATAGGCAACTCTTGTAACTCCACGCGTTTTTATTAACGTCTTGGAGATTTCTTGATATTATCTTCTTCTTCTTCTTTTTTTTTTCCTTGTTCGGTCTTCGCAATATTTACGTTTATTAGAAAAATGAATGGGATTCCATAAAGTTTTCTACGTCGAGCAAGAAGATAGAGGTCGAGCGAAATAAGCTAAATTATTTTTCCGCCCTTCGCTCTGTCCTCTATATATATATATATTATTTTCTTGATATTATTAGATTTATACTCTCTCCTCACCATTGTTAATTCATTTCTTTATGTTCTGTTTTTCTTTTTCTTTCGTTTGTTGAAGGCGGCAGTCCGATATCGAAGCACGACTCTAGCGCCGGGGAATGCGACAGTGACGAGAAGAATCCGGACATAATTCCGCAGCCGAACGATGGCGACGAGGTGTCCGGAGTTGGCGGCATGGGTGGAATAGGAGGAATCGTGGGTGGAATGGGCGGTGGTCTGATGGGTGGGCCGACGGACTACGGCAGGAAGAGACAGCACGTCTCCACAATAGAAACGTCCCCGAGTCGCAGCCTCCTACATCAGGCCGGCAATTCCGGCTACATCGGATATTGTACGTTGCGTAATGGCATTCCATTACATGAGATGTCCGCCGCCGCCGCCTCCTCCATACCTCAGCAGCAGCAGCAACCGACGCCCCAACAAAAACTCATAGTAAGTAATTTATAATATGTCCGAAGGAACTTCGTCTAGTCTAGTGCGGCCTGCATTCTTCCGCCGGCGGCGGCAGCAACGCCGCCTCCCAGAACATTGTTCTCGGGGGGCCATCACCTTCTTCTTTTTCTTCTGCTACCTTTCTCACTAAAGAGGTTTTGATTGATGATGCGCCTTCATAGCACCGAAATCCCCGCCGGTAAAACGATTGCCTCTTCTTTATTCAGTCTTATTTATTTTAACACAATAGCAGACAATGCAAAGAAGCGAGCTCCTACACATTTGCAATATTATTAGCCGTACAATAACTTCAGTTAATTGAATTTAATCATAAACAACATAAAAAAAAACTACTTTACATCAAATGATTTATTATCTATATTTCATATTTGTTAAAAGTTTTTCCCCTCAATTAATAATTTTTCGGTAAATATTTTTATCAAAAATCGCTTAACGGGTAATTAACTATTATGTTTTAAGAAAAAAATAATATATTAACAAAAAAAAAAGAAAATAAACAAATACGAAATAAGTTTGCACTCGGCGAATTTCAATTATAACTGGAAAAACATTTTCAATTTGCGTGTGAAAATTACCGACATTATCAAAATTTACCGGTAAAATCGTTAAATTGATCGTTAAAACGACTTACAGAATATTAATATACAGTAAGTCCTCGACTTACGCGATTAATTGGTTCAGAATGATTTCGCGTAAGTCGAAATCGTGTTAGTCAAGGACTGACTGTACTTAAATTTTAACTGTCGATATTTGACATTATCCAATATAGTATAATAAATTAAATGTATTCCGAAATAATTAGTAACTATTAAGATATTAGATATGATTTCAAGATTAAAATTTTTGAAATTATAATGCGTCTTTATCAAAAAAAAAAAATATTTGTAATTATTTATTTTGCTAAAGTAAAAATAATATCAATGCATCCACGCGGATTCTACTAGAATTTCAATGTGTTGATTTTGTTATATAATTAGTAGTTTCGGAAATTTGATAGCGACGAGCGTTGCCGGTGCAGTCTTCTAATTAACTCATCATCTTACATCAACAATTTCACATAAGTTTTGAGATCGTACGCAGGAATGTTGCATCTGCAGGAAAATTCGGTGTAACTCAGGGGAGAAACTAATTATCTAGTCTAGTCAATGAACAACACAAGTCAATTGCAACAGCGGATGGTTGCAATAGCAGCTGAAATCATCTATTTCGTTGGTGGATAAATCGACGATGAGTTCCATTGAAGCAGTCACAGAAAATGGGGGAAAATGGTTTTAACACTTTAAAGATTAATACTTGCGTTGAAGCGAGACATAAATAAAGAAAAACGAATATGTCAGCTTTCAGGAAAGATTGGAGTAGAAGAAATAAACGTCTTTGTTAAAAAAGAAAGAAAGAGAATAAGGAAAAGGCCCTAATTGAGACAATTTGTCCTTTTTGGAGCCAAGTCAGCGCGAGCTGAAAAGAACGAGACGAAAAGAAACATATTTGAACTGAATATTAAACGTTATCCAAACTGCTTTTAAGAACAATAAAAGCTTTTTTTTAGACCGTCCGTTCGCATATTCTTCTCACCACGCGCTCACCTGACGAGCGAAACTTAATTAATAACTTATGTATATTTCAGCGCACGCTGAAACTCTTGTTACGAGCTCGAACTTAATGTCGCATTAAGCCATTTATAACTCCGGTACTTTACTCAATTTACCGCCTCTAATGGATGCAGGTTTTTTCTTGATTTAATCATCATCAACGTTACGTAATCGCATGCGCTCCTTTCTAATTAATTTTCAACCTTTTTTTTTAATTTCATTTCATAAAATGCTTATAAAATCGGATATTTCCTATGCCCAATTATATGATTGTTATGTTCTTTTTTTCTTCTTTTCTTCTGGTACACGTTTAAGCCTACAATAACAAAAAAAAAGGTACATGTGTTTGCAGATGGAAAATGAACGACGTTGTTAATATACGTAGGATTTTGTTCGCGGGCAATTGTTAATAACTCAATTTATATGCACTTTCAATTAAAATTCTTTCATTTTTGAGGTGAAAACAAACTGGCTGTTCATTAATACTGATAAATTTGTTTCCAAAAAGTCAAAAAGGGTTCGTACAGCGAAAAAAACGTGCGTTCAAGTAATTTCTTTACAAAATATGTACATACAAATTTGACCTTTTGAATTCTCTATACTCTGATAATAAATACGGGCAAAATTCTATGTAAATTAAGAAAAAAATAAACTCATTTAGAGCGCAATTCACAAATGTAAAATCGCCATGTTTTGATTTATTCTATAACTATAAACACTACAAATACGTCGATTTTTTTTTGCAACCACTGACATCTATCCGATTGACATTGTACTTTCTTATTTGTACGTTAGTTCGGATAAAGCGACGTAAATAAAAATGATATATACATTAGGAGAATTATGATGAAAAGAGTTAAAAAATAATCAACTTAAATAATATTACCAAATTACTTTGAATACTTTCTAATTATCGTAAAAGCTTTCGGTGAGCGCTATAATTCATATTAAAATTCTCGGGAGAGCCTTTTCATCAACTAACTCTTGTGTTCGCTTAAAAGCTACGCGACGATTAAGTTTCGTTTAACACTCAGTTTTTCCATCCCCTCACTTTTTTTCTTGTTTTGATTTATCTTTCGCGTGTGTCTTATTTATGTGCATGCAGTTGCATGCGTGTGGCGGAGGCGCCGGGTATGGCAAAGTTATTTGACGGGAATTTTAAGTGTCGCGTCGCATTATGTAGCTCAGTACAAATTTAATATCATCCCTTGCACATTGAACGCGAAACAAAGGGGTGGCGGAGGAGGATTCTCTCTCCCTATCTTTTTTTTTAACTTGCGCATCCTCCACGTTCAGAGATGGAGAAGGGTGCTGTTGCTGCTGCTGCTATGTGACCTCAGAAGTCACGTACAAGAGGGGGGCCGCTTATTCTACTCTCCTGCAGCCCATCTGCTTTGCGTCACTGTATTATTATTCAGATGAGTGATGCAGAAGAAAAGCACGAGGAAAGGTAAAACTCGTCCTGCAAAAACCCCCGCACTCATTCTCCGCGGATGAATAAGGGTGAGAAAGGAGATGGGAAAGGGAAAAGGGAGAGCCGTTTGAGATGACGACAAACGAGTCGGGGAATAGAAATTCGAAACAGTACATTAGGTCCAAAGCCAACTCGCGCAATCATCGCCAAATAACTACCCAATAAAACGAATCCTTATCATATATTTTTTTTATCCTCTGACGATTCTCTCCCTTTCATCTTCCCTTTATGCCCGATATTTGTCCCGGATAAACGAACATAATTGTGTCCCTAATCCAAATTTTGATACGTAATAACCTATCTATATCTGCGCACGGTCTGCTATTTGTGTCTACTTAATGAATTCAACACTTATACAAATTTACTAAAAATTATATACCTTAAAAATTGATTTTCTCAGAAACTATAGTAGGTAGAATGGATCTAAAAGATGCATATGAAACTTGGATGTTTGGGGAATGTAGTAATTATTCAATTATCGCTATGATTTCCTCCATTTTTCTGTAATTGTAAAACGAATGTATAGTTTTGCAAATTTATATTAATCTATGTTTTAATAGCATAATCCGCAGATGATAGGTCCGTACGCTCCATGCACACTGCCACGCCAGCCGCCCCAATGGCAGTACGGACCTGTTTCGCATCTGCCGCCCGGTATGTACCCAATTCAGTACAGGGGCGCTCATCCGCTGAACCAGAGACCGCGCCCGGCGCCCCGAGAGGCGCCGATTCCGATGCAGCCCATGAAGACGTCGACGGGTACCAGCTGCGAAGAGGAACCTTCAGCTGATACACCTTTGATGGTCAACAAGAGAGAGAGCACCGTTTGACAGGTCACCCCGCTGTAAACATTTTCAATATTAGGTTCATCGTTGACCCATCATCATACATCAACATAACATGGGATAATTGAAAATCTAAGACCAATTACTACTGCTTTCTGACTCGTCTTCTTAGTTGGAACAATGATCGTCTGTATAGTCTAAAGAAATCAATCACACAACAGAAATATATATATGACGACTTTGATTCCATCAACTGAACGATTCTCGTTATATAATTTCAACAAAAACGCATCTGAAATAAATCAATTACATCTATTTCATTTCATGCTCTAACGCAATGTAAATACTATGCAGTATACAAATATTTATTCATATTCACATACATTTAACAATATTTGCATTCGACCATAACAGATTTCATAGATTTTTTTAACGTAATTTACATATCCAGGACATGGACATAATTGAAATAATTTTCAAGAAATCTCTAAGATAAAACTTGTGTATAAATATCTAAAAAAAAATGTTTTTTTCACTGTAATTTTACGTAGGGGGAAAAGAAAACGTTTTCTTGGTTTAAGTGAGAAGCATTATGCGAAGCCAAAAACGAAACACTTAATGTTAGTTACAAAACTGAAACGTAATGCTCATTGTATGCTCAAATATAAATACTAATTATGTGAATGGTTAAAGTGTAATTAAATAAAAACGAAATGCAATGTTTACAGATATAAACAAAAATTGCAATGAAATTGCAATTTAAATGAAAATATTGGGAATTTATAAAAATCAATGTGTATATATTATATATGTGGATAATACTGTGAATGATTGAAAGACTGGCGCAGTAGCTGGATTTTTTTTTGTATAATGATCGTGTTTCAGTTCTATATTTCTAGGGCAATTCGTATGATCATCGTAATGTAAATGTATAACGAAAATTATAGATAAAATCACTCTCTCTCTCTCTTTATACATTATTATATAAATACTAATGAATAAATGCGTGGTGATGCATTATTACTATTTGATAATCCAAAGTGAATGTGTTCATTCATAAACGATTAGATTGATACAAATCGTTTAATGAAAAAACGATATAATATTTAGTAATCATCAGTTGGGACGAATTATAGAAAATACTTGCAGAAAGCATCACCTCGGTCCTATCTTTTTCTTATTGTAAAATTTTTGAATAAAATCTTTATGTAAAATATGTGTACATACAAGTATAATATATAAAAACATATATATATAAAAATAAAATATATAAGAATTATAAATGGAGAAAAAAAAACTATAAAAAAACAATACGAAAAGACGTAACTTTAAATAAATATTTGAATAAATGTGATAATTCAGTAATTATCTTAATGTCCATATGAAATTGAATTTCTCTCGCTTTAAGACTTCTGAAAGAAGAAAAAAATACACAAATCACGAGAAGAAACTGAGTTCTGTTACTACTAGGACTTTTATATATAAATAATTATATTGACTATATATCGTAATTAAGATGAAAATACACGTACTAAATAAGTGAAATATATCATGTTTTTATTATCAATTAGTTTATGAAAATATTCATTCTTTTTTTTTTTCTCTTATTATTGTAAAATGTAAATACTGTACATATGAACCTGATTGTTTCGTTATGTTTTCGCCTTTGTATATAAATTGATTATTATAATTGTACGAAATAAATTATTCTGCAGCGAGTGTTGATGATACACACACACTTACAAAAAGAAGAAGTAAATGAATCCAATTTGTTTATATTATTGTATATTTTGTGAATTGAACTTAATCAAATATTGTAATGATTATAAATATATATATATATTGCCCATTGTTATCCAATCAAATTCATCTGTGAATATTTAAAGAAAAGAAAATAAATATAAACATAAATGTATAATTTGATTTTTTTTTAATGTTGGCTCTGTCGCCATCTTCCGTCCAAATCTTCGAACTTCGCGTTTAGAACTGTCAAAGTAATTTCTGCCAGTGTTGCGGCACGCATTTCGATGTGCACAGGTGATTAAGTGAGGTTATGTCGCGTGTGGTGTTTATATTGTAATATTTATGTGCGTATCCCAGGTTCGGATTGAAAACGCACGCGATTGTGTGAATTTCAATTATATATAACAATTACGTATTGATTTTCGTGGTGGTGTGACTGCAAGTTGTTCGAAGATGTCTTCAGGAAGGAAGTGCAAAAACTGTGGCTCCTTCGATATAGAAGTTGACCCAGCTAGGGGTGATGCAGTGTGCACCAATTGTGGCTCCGTGCTTGAAGACACCATCATAGTATCGGAGATACAGTTCGAGGATGGTAACCATGGTTCGACAAATGCTATAGGTCAATTTGTGTCTGCGAGCTCGAAGGGTGGTGGAGGAAAGTTTGGGCCAGGTAAACGAAAGTCATGAATTAATTATTCTTAGCAAACAAATGATAAGATAAAACGTGTTTGTACAAACACGACATGCTTGGTTTTATAATAAGAAATATCCTTTAACCAAAGGTTACTCTGATTATGATTTGCTGATTTTACAATTGCAAAACATAAACATTACTTTTGAATTAATAAATAAAACTTGTCATCTATATGGGGATGTATGTTTGGTTGTATATAGAACAAATTGTTTTATTTTTTAAATTCAAGGATTTCAATTCCAAAGCGGCGAAGAATCCAGGGAATACACTTTAAAGAAAGCTCGTAACAGCATTTCCATTCTCTGCAATCAGTTGCATCTGAATCAGCACTGCATCGACACTGCTTGTAACTTTTACAAGATGGCATTGACCAGAAACATGACAAAGGGTAGAAAAAGTACGCACATTCATGCTGCTTGCGTCTATTTGACCTGCCGCACAGAGGGCACAGCTCGTATCCTTTTTTGTTATTACACTTATTTAAAAAAATATATTCTAGAATATGATTATATAACTTTTTCATTGTAACATAATCAAAATATGTTTGTAAATTAAACATAATTTGATCCTTTTTAGAATGTGAGATTTTCCTTAATTATATTTTAAATAGATTTATTGATTGATATATGCGACGTGGTCCAAATAAGCTGCTTCGAATTGGGTAGAACTTACCTGAAGTTATCACACACCTTGTGCCTGAACATACCTTCAATTGGTAAGTAATTCCGTTTGATCAAATATTTAGGTAAAATTGTCAAAGAAACTAAATTTGTTTATGGTATGCAAATATAATAATTATTATATTTCTCAAATGTAATTTAAACAAAAGATGGTAAATCTATTTGCTCTCCAATGTGAAGAACATATTTTAAATATGCAATTACAAATTGTGAACCATTGCAATGTATTTGCTGATTAAACCAATGTGTCAATTTGGTGTCAAAATCACCAATTAATATAAATGTATAAAGATTTTGGAAGATGAAGCAGAATCTCTCAATCCTAAATATTAAAAAGTATGTTTATTTGTTACTGTTGGAAATTATATCTACAAGTCGTTATTATATAATAACTTAGTGTTTGTTTCCTAATCAAGGACCCTGTTTTCTTGAAAATGTATGTAAAGAGATTGGACATCAGAAATGATCTGAGAATGATGAACTATCCTGTGATGTTGCTGAAAGTTTCTTATTTGAAATATTCATCACGTCCGATGTCAATGCCTTGCAGGCTTCTATCAGAAACTCTGATAATAATGCACTTATGAATGTATTTTACTTTTATAAACTATATTTATGAAACCTAAGCACCCTATTTATATATATGTATAGTATATATATATAACTATTTATTTGTTAGGAGGTTTTCCTCTTTCAGCACTGCATAGTGTTTGAAGACTTGTTACTCTAGCAAATCGTCTTCATCATACTAGAGCGTCATATTTTTGTTGTACCGATTTGGCAAAGGGCGCGACGAGCAATCGAATTAGTAGTATTTTCCTTTGCGAACGTTAACTACTCATTGGATACCGTGAAGATATAACAATTATATAAAAAAAATGTAACAAAATAGTTCACAGCACTTAAATTATAATAAATTAGGGTATGAGTTTCTAGATGTGGGAGGAGTAGTAGAACATATAAAGTTTATTGGTTTAGAGGTGTTCACTGACGGCGGCGGTAGAGGGACCATAGAAAATCAGCTCAGGTATTTGACCACCTTGAACTCCGGTGCCGTTGGTGCTCTCCGAAGAGCATTGGAACTGAAAGGTGACCGTGCCCACGGACACCTCGCTCATGCCCTCCTGACCAAAGTAGCTAAGTTCGGCCCCGTCGAGTACAGCCGAAGCCGTGTAGAACGATTCGGGTTCGACCTGTATGGGATTATTGAAGTACACGTGGAAAGTCTTGCTGGATCCGTCCGAGAAGAACTTCGTGTTGCTTTCGGCGAGCACGCGTCCCTGTCGCTTCAGTTCGATTTTCACGTTGTAATCGGCGGCGCCGTTTGACGATCCGTACAACCCAAACCCGACAACGAAAATCCTACGATCCACGGAAAACTGTATGCTATCGCATCTGCCTCTGTACCTCCACTGGTTGGAGCGGTATGCGCACGATTGAAATCTGTGACACACCTAGATAGATACGTTAATTTTGTTGCTTTGCGCTGTTATTGTGTATTTACTTGTGACTTTAGTCCGGCCCTGGGCTGTATCGGGTACTGCAGGCTCGGTTTATTGTTGGCCGTGAAGTGGAAGAAGATGTCGATCGTCTCCTGTTGCGTGAGGATGCCCAACTGGGCGGCGCCGTTCGCGAACTCCTCCAATGACATGGTGGGTATCCGCACCAAGTATAGGGCGTTTCCCAACACGTTGCGTTTGTTCTGCGGTGATGGCTCGATCTCGCGGCGGACGCATTCTGCGCCCGCCCAGTTCAACGCCGCCTCCAACAGGTTCATTTCCTTGCAGTTCAACGTCTCTCGGCCCAGGACCGACTCCAGGGTCGACATGTCGATGTCGACGAACCCGTCCGAACGGAGCGCCATCTCTGCCTGAAATTGTGCAGGGATTAAGTGAAAAATAAAATGGTTTCTTTCTAATCCATATATTGACAACATCATACTTTTTACAATTAATACTTCCGCAATCGTTACAAATCGCAATCAAAAAATAAAGCGCACTGCATACATTATTATACACATTACATCAACTAAAGAATGCTGTAAATATCTGGATTAAGAATTAACACATCAATACATTGATATTTATATATATATATAGAGAGATTTAGTTTATCTTTCATCAAATATTTTCTGTGAAGCGCAAACCAAAAGGTTCGAGTCAATTTGTTCTATATTATCATTGCTCCACAGATGTATAATAATAAATCGTTGAAAAATAATAGCAACAATACATAAGGAACGTCGTGAGATATGTTTCGATTCAATTCGGAAATTAATCTAAATGATTGTAGGACGCAACGAACATTTAGTAATTAATTTCCTTGCATGCTACACACCGATGAGCATAATATATTTGTTTTTGTTTTGTTTAAAACACAAGCAAAATTATTGTCTCGGTAAATGAAAGATCGAAAGTTTTATGGCATTGAAATGGAATTGGAAGGAGGCGGCAATTCGAGACATGAGATCGAGTGCGTGAGACTCACCTGAGCGTCGATGACCTCCCAGCATCGTTGCATCAGCTCAGGTTCCTCAAAGAGGCGCGACTGGCTTAGGAGAAGGCAGGCATTCTTCGCCGTTAAACTAGTCTCCAAGTAATTGACGCAGGCACGTGCGAGATGTGGCACGATGTACTTTTTCGCTACGTACAGTGTGGCCAGCACAGTGTCCGCTTCCAATTGGATTTCATCACAGTATAAATATCTACGAAAAAAACATCAATTAATTAAAACACAAGTAATAATATATGTAGAAAGGTGTTAATTACTTTAGTAGAGTTAGAAAAGCTGAGGGCTCGACGTCGGGCACCTCGATTTCCTCTTTGCATTCGGCGAGGCCGCCGTAGAACATGGCGTAGAAAACGGAACTTCCGGTCGCCAGAACGTATTTGTGGGCGGGGATTGGTTGAACGGCGCCGGCTCCGCCCACCAGGAATCGGACGTCCGCCATGAGATCGTTATTGAACATTGCCGCGTTGCGTTCGCGCACCGTCGGTTTCGTCGCCTGCCAGTTCGGGTCTAATGTACCCGGTGGACCTCCGATCGGGCTCACGCAAGGACTCGACGGCGGCGAACCTGGAGCACTCACGGGCTGCATCACCTGCAGGTTCTCACGTTGCGACACCAGGTGTGGCGGGGATAAGCTGAGTGGACCATTGTTCAGAGTTTCTGCTAGAAAATATCAAATCAATCAATTAATAAACTATATATTGCATCTTCACATTTAACCCAAAACATATATTTTCTTGAAACTGCTAAAGTCCTTTCTAATAATTAATATTTTATAAAATACCAACGAAAGTCATAACATATATTGACTTTAAATTTAAGCTTGATTTAATGACACGCAATGAAAAACACACGTAACAGAAAATTAATTTCAAAAACAAGATTGCAAAATAAGTCAAGCTCTCAACCTCTATAAGATTGCGTGAAACAGCATATGATGATTATGTTTATGCAGTTGCATAATGCGCGGCCTTTTGTCAATCGATAGTTTACAGGGTCGACCTTATGCGCTTTCAACAACTAAAATAATAACATAGTAAAACCCTAACATTAAAACGAAATAATTCCCGTTTGTACGATTGGAAGAAAAACATAATTTACTAAATTTTTATTCTAAATGTATGTAATTTCAGAAATAATTTGCAAAACAAAAATTACGTTACTTCACTTCGTGAATTATCAAATTTTGTCATTAAATATTTCATCGATAGTTACTTAATTTAATACATTTGAAATTTAAAAGTAAAATAAATGTTAATAGATGTAAATTATTCACTATTGAAACTCTATTTATTGTTATGTTATTCAATGAATTGATAATGTTTGTTTTGTTTTTGTCACAATTGTGTGCGCAAAATTTTTAGAGTTTTATTGATTTTTCGGGATCTTCTTCGGGTCGTCACACCCGGAATACAAAAGAAAATCTCTGATTTAAAAACAAAATAGGTAAAACAAAATATGTTGTGAATTTGAGGTGGTAAAAGTTGTAGAAGGCCGAGATTTGGAGCCGATTCTCTCTCTTACCGTTCATCCAGGCGTTCGTCTGGGAAACGGACATATTGTTGTTTTCTTGCATTTTCCTGGCCGGTTTCGTCGATACTTTCGAATACAAATTCGGCATAGCCATTATTCGGCAATGTCGATGTTTCTCGTTCGCTCTTCTACTGCACTTTCCCGTTTTTTCTTTTCACCGACAACACTACCCATCCATCACTCTAACAGCGCCATTTTGTGTTCTTCTGTTTCCCAACTCGAATGTCAGGCAACCCTCTGTACGTCCGAGCGTTCTTTGCCTACCTCGTATTTCATCAACCAAAATTATTACAGAATCTCTCTCATACCAATAAGATTAAAGCAGTCTCACAAACAGTTTTACTTTCTTCTTTTTTTATATAAAGCTAAATTGCGTTTAAAAATTAATAAATGAGAAATTTGAACTTTGCATCTCATTAAATTAATGAAATTAGTGTATTAATAGAATAAATTACACATAGTATGTTAATTACCATCTAATTTAGTATTAGCATAAGAATGAAATTTGTTTTCTTGCTTTTCTAATACTTCCTGCAATTTTAACAACAACTTTATAGAAAATACGCAATACGCAATATTCCGATTTTCTCATTTTTGTTTTCAAATGTTGCTAATTTAATGTATTTTTTTCTGATTCTTATTTAAATTGTTTCAAACGTTTCAAAGTTACGAATTTCCGACTTTGACATTTTTTTCAAATTTAGCAACAAACAAAATGTCAATGGTTTATTGTTTAAATTCTATATACTTATAAGTGTTTCTTCATTCATAAACGCTGATCTTTCTGTTTGTTAGCGATGCAGAATACTTGTGACAAATTTTAACTGTAAAATAGATTTTTCTAGAGAATTCGTTGCATGCGTTTGTTCAATTTGATTGGATTTCATTAACACGTATAATTGAATTTCTTTGTTTAGTTTCCAGTGAGAGAAATGCAAGAAAATAAAATTGAAATGATGTTTCGATTTTCAAGTGATGATTTTGCATTTTTTTGTACGTTTCTGTATCCACGTCAACTATATAATAATTATTGTAAATTAGGATTTCACTTAAACATTTAACTTAGATGTGTATTCGTAATTAATGCAAATATTAAGGTGATTAATGTGAATGTTAAAACAAACCTGATCTTCCAGTGTTCTTCCAATTCTTATTTAACAATATTGGTTTTCGATAACACGGAAATCATGACCAGGCTGGAGTATCAGCACTAACTGACACCATTTTTTGTGTTTCTCAATGCTATGATAATATACATGAATTATGAAATCAATTCCCTATTCAATTCCAATGCGCTCTTTCTATAAATATGCAACAGCACTGGCAAAACAAAAAAATAATCACGTCGATTCGAGTGAAAAAAAGATAAGAAAAGTTAATACTAACGTTCCGGGTCCAAGTGTTGGTTATTTTCGAACACCGGTTCCTCTTCGTCTTCGGTGAAGAGATTGTCCAGTATGGATAAACCGACGTTTTGATAGGCGGGTTCTTCGTCCTCGTCGCATAATTGGTCATAGCCTCCTCCTCCTCCGATGTTGCTCTTGCTGACGAAATGCGCGCATCGGTGCAGAAGGTACCAGACGTCCGTTTGACCCAAGACCCAGGCCAAAGCGTGTCGATGAGGAGTCAACTCGACGCCGAGCATAATAGTAACGAATCGGGAATGATGGTCAACATCAAAAATACAGATTTTCTTATCACCTCGCCCTCTCTCTCTCTACTTTATTCTTTTCTTTTGTGAGGTGTCCTAATCCGTAAATTGGCTATTGTGCTCCGCTTTTCACCTGGAACAAATTTTATTATAAAAATACCATTGAATTCCTTAATTGGATCTAATTCTAACAGGTTTTCTGCAGGAAGAGAAAATCGTATCAAAAGAATAACCGAAACGAACAATGTACAATGACCACTGCTCAAATTTAACAACTTGATTATTTCGTGTCTTGTGCTATTAATAGACTTTGCTCGCTGAATACAATAGACAATTATTTCAATATTTTGTTAATTATTTTAAATAACTAAAGTTCAATTACAATTGTTATAATATTCGCATATCAATAATTCAATAACAACAAAAAAATGCAAGGAAATAGTATGTAGCATACACAATGGCAATATAACAAAAAAAAGTGCGAAGTAATGATTTTTAATTTTTTTTAAATTCTCGTATCATAGTAATTTAAACTATAGTGTTTTAAAAGGATGCAATCTATACTCAAGAGCAGGGTTTCTCAAACCCAACCAGTTTCTAGCTTTGACAATTGTTTGCTACAATCAAATTGCTTTGACACAAGGTGACAGCTTTTAATAAGTTGTTTTTTTATCTGAAAACACACTTTAACCTAGAGTTAAACTTTCGCAGCACACTTAAATCATAATCTTGACACGTACGTTCACTTATTACACTTTGTACTTCTGTAAAAAATACATTAATTAATGAATTTAAATTACTGAGAGTGTATAAATAACAATTATATAATTTTGATATATGTATTCTTTAAATACATTCACTGTTACAAATTTCGAATTGAAATAAAGAAAGTCCTTACGACATCGAATTTCTAAACGTACACACTCTTCCATTCCACATTTCTTCCGACAGTCGTTTACGAATCAGAGGAGTAGAAATACTTTCGGTTTTCGGTAATTTACGAAAGCCGCTGTCAAGGTTGAAAAGTGAATTTTATTCTAGTTACAAAAAAAAGTACACTGCAATATTTTATTGTTCACAAACCATATTTATTTACTTATAATTAGTTTTGATAAAGACAATGAAATTAAAGATAATTTGATTAATATTGGCAACATTTAAATTCAGTTTATGTTTTAATTATTAGGTTATTGGTATGAACACAAGAGATGGTCAATTTTCTCTGATGTGATAAATGTGGATTTCTTTCTTCTCGACGAAAACTCAAACCAAATATTGACTCTTTTACAGTCGTGAAACTTGCACAAGCCACATGATAAATTCATTAACAAACGTTTCCACAGAAACCGCGCGCGCTCGTTCGTTTGTTTAAACTAAACTACAAATGTTTGTGCAGATGGAATATGAACCATACACGTCTTGCACAAAAATTACCTTTAAATAATTATTATTGATTTGAAAATTTCATTTTTTGATGCAAATATATCTTTTTTCTCCGGTTGGTAATTGCGTTTCGATGCTCCATGTATGTGTTAATATGCATGTACAAGACAACTCAATTTGGGAAAACGTTCGATTCCAATCATTTCCATATATATGTACAATAATTATACGAATATTACATTTAATTTTTATTAGATTTGATTTGATTTTTTTGTAAAATTACACGAGGCATGATATTTAAAATAATTAAAAATTATATTGTAAATCAGCATGGCTCAACCTTTTGTGACCCATTCTCTTATTATCGATTATTTGTAATTTGTACTAAGACTTAATTACTAAGAGTTAGTCGCTTTGCCACAAGATGACATCTTGTCGTGTCCCAGGGATGGAATTCTGGACACAGTGGAATATTGTCTGGTGTTGTCGTTGTGGAGTCTCAGTTATAGGAATTAAGTAGTACGTTTGGTTTACAACAAGTTTATTATAATAATTTGTACTCTTGGGGTCCTTTCCAAGACAATGTAGTTACTTCGATAGGTTGACTAAGACTATATCAGTCTTTGAAGGTTTTACTGAGACTATGCTCATCATATTAACGTTTTACTGAGACTGATTCCAAATACTTATTCTACTTGCGGGATCGACTACGATTGTACGTGTAATGATCATTAAGTGTTTATAATAAGGACTTGAATTCGGAGTAAAGGTATAGGAGTATCGATGGGAATGTTTACGCTTGGTCCCCTTTGTTTATATTGAAGTATATCGAACTGGAATCACTGTAGAGATTCATTTATGCTGATGTATATGTTTATATAATAATGCGACTAAGAGACGCCTTGGATGTCTCTAGTTCGTTAATATACTATACTAATAAAGACAATTATAAAAATAATGGTTGGACACAACAATCTGTTATTTCGTGACCCAACATATTTTGTTTGTAGTTGCACAGCCACCCAATTGTTAACATTATTTCACCAGATCCTCTCTTTGACAGTAGATGACAGCTGTCATCGGTTGTATAACTCTATTCTAAATGTCATTACTTCAATTTTAGAGCTGTTGAATTCTGTTAAAGACTAGGAAAAATATATTTATTTTTAATGTTAACAAGATTCAAATAAATGTTGACAAGGTTAATTTCAATATAATTTGACGTAAATAAACATCATTTCCTTTCATTTTTACACTCTTTTTTTAATTAACATTTACGTCTTTTATTTTTTTAATCTCATTTATGATCCGTTACGTTATGAATTGCATATGCCTTTTTAATTTTTTTTTTTTTTAATTAATTGAAATGATTAATTATTTTATTAATGGTTTGTTGGTTTACTTCATATAATTGTTGTTTTAATTGACCTGATAATGAATTTATTGAAATATTATAATATGTCTGATTACGTTTAAAAAAACAAAAAGTTTATAAATATTGAAAATTTTGTTTAAAAAAAAATACTAAAAGTATGGTACCTCGCACAGTGCGGTTTCAGTATAGTGCGGTATAAAGAGTCGACGATTAGTCCGTTTTCAAATTGGTAATACATACAATCATGATTGTATAAATAGATATATTTTTTGTATTTGTTCATGTGGACGATATTAATACATACGTTTTCAAATATGCAACATTTGGATGTTTGAAGAAGAAAAATGAAAACTGCACTTTCTGTAGTAAACTGAACTTCACTGAACAAAAGTTGATTTATAAAGGTAAAAATTCAAAAGTTTTGTATTGGTGAGATGCCGTGGCTTTTCCCGCCGAGCAGTGTTCGATTTCGCTGTTGCAATGATACTAACTGCAATGGAAACAACAACCGCTAAGAACTTTGGTATGTAAGTGTGTGTACCAAAATAAAAAAAAAAACAAGTAAATATGTCGAGACGCAGACAGAGTGAGAGAAAGAGTGTTACGGCTATTCGAATAAGCAAGTTCGGAGGAGCGCTCGGTACTGAAGGTATTACTATTAAGTAGTAGGTATGACCGGACGACGACGCCTTCTCTTTCTTTCCTTCTTTCCCTCGGATCGCATTTATTCTCTTCTATCTCCTCTCTTCTGAGCAGTTTCTTCTTCGCTCTCCTCCGTAAGGCGACTCGCGAGGCCGTTTATTTATATATTCTCTTATTATCGATTATTTGTTGTCATTACCATGAACAGACATACCATGAACATAATAAAAATCGGAATTTTTAAATGTATTTTAAATTAATATTCTTTTCTTAATTTATTTGTCAATTTATGCACTTGCTTTTATAGTCATTCCATTTTGAAAACTTATTATGACAGCATACAACAATACCTCGCATAGTGCGGGTGATTTGTAACCACAATAATTAACACAATTAACCACAATAGGATATATAGATTATAAGTTAGTATCTTTTCAAACCGGACTGATTGAAACCGGACTATGCGAGGTTTATATAGTTAATTTTAATATGTTTTCAATCTAATTAGATTGAAAGTTTATTTAAGAACAACATTGTTTTTTTTTTTAGTTTTTGTTTCTTATTTGTTTAGACAAGCCTGATGATTTTGTTTCCCAATAACTTGATTATATTTGTTTTAAGAAGCAAGTACGCTTCTCCTCTACTATTACGAAATGTTAGCCAATCATTAATTTATTTGGTAATTTATGATCTTAACCTCACTTGCATAAATGCAAATATTCTAAACGAATATATTCAGACGTTTTTTTTTTCTAATTTCAGTAATATTCATTATGTGTGATTAAAATACAATGAGCTGAAACAAATAAATTTAATAACAACATGAAAACTTTGAACCTGTGAGTTGAGTTTTTGGCTTTCTATGATTCTGATTTGATTCAATATAATTTTTATTTTACATCTTATATAAGTGGGATATTTTTTTGCTTAAATTGTTACAAAATAATCATAATATTATTTATTGAAAATTTCGATTGTGAATAAAGAGAGGATATGTGCTAATTCAAATTTCAAAATGTTTTTATAATTATTTTTACCCGTAATAATTAATATTAATTTTAATTTTATGGTGATTAAGTGTTTTTTTTCTGTTACATACATATCTATATATATATTCAACTATGTTAAGATGTAAGAAACACTGTGTAACAAGAAAGAAGAGATCAAGTGGCGAAATGGAACTTGCTGTCGTAAGTACCGCAACTCGGTTACGAGCGCGAACATTCTTTCTTCTTTCACTCTAACTAGTTGCGTGTTTCTATCTTGCTCATTCATGCTCCTCGCATCGAGTATATCAAGCAAAATGTCGACAGACTTATTTCCAATAGTCTGCTTGCACATGCATTATTATTTCGCGTACCTGCGTAGACGGAGATTGAGAGAGAGAGAGAGAGAGAGAGAGAGAACGAGTTAATGAGAAAGTTCATGGAAGTTATAGTATTCAGACCGAATATGCGATATTTGCAACGATTTTCGGATGAGAAATATATACCGAAAAATGAACGATAGTTTTTCAAAATTTACAAAAAGTGAACACACAAAATCATCTCCAAAAACGATAAATTATTATGGAATTATAATCCCGAGAATTCCCTGGAAACATCTACTAGTTGTAGCTGTAATTTCAAGCATAAATCTTATGATTTAATTGAGAAAAACTTGGATAATGCGACTTTACTAATAAAAACGTATTGCTTCGAAAATCCTATTTCAAATGAATGTATTTTATATAATTAAGTCTTAAATTGTATTTACATTTTGATATTAGCAATTTTATATATTTTCTTGTGAAACTTATTACAATAACAACAAATATCTTCATTAACTCATGTTTGCGCAGTGTTATTGAACCTGTCTACAAAAATATGCAAAGTCAAGTGACAAGTGAGCAATTTTCCAAATGACTGCTAAAGTTTTCTCTATTTTATGAAATGGAGGAGGGAAATCAAGTTTGGAAACCACTGGCCTAAACAATGCACAAAATTAAACTCGTTGTGTCTACTACTATATTTCGGCATTACTGCGTTTCTCAATCTTTTTGACGTTGCTAAGATTATTTCAGTTTCTCTTTTTGACACAAAATGACAGTTGTCACAACCTTTTTTTTGTAGTTATGTACTGCGACTCAATTGTTAACAACAGTTCCATGCTTTGACACAAGGTGACATCTGTCATATAAATGTCATAAATTTAACGCGACTCAATTTTTGGTCGAGGTTGAGAAACGCTGGTCTAGACAACTTTGCTGTTAACATTTATACATATCTATGCACACACGCACACTTATATAGGTAGGATTTCACACAAATGCCAGTTACATAATAATTTGCGAAGCACGATCTTTCAGCTTTGCTGATATTTTATAGTCGTACGGTTTGTATTTCGCTTGATACCAGTATTCAATTTCATTTGCAATCTAATCACTTGCAGATTACCTTTATTACGTGTTTTGCTAACAGATTCTACATTTACAATGACATTTGTATGTAGCGTGTATTGAATTGATTAACATTGATTACAAAGAATTACATAGAAAACAAAAAACACAGATGAATCGTTGCAACAATCAAAGCACACTAAAAATAATACTGGATATTTCGTATTTTCATCACCTTTCTTAAGATTATTTAATTTTGCTAATTGACCTTAAATTAAGATGATGCTGTAACAAAGAAAATGACAATCTCGGACGTTAGGTAATCGAATCTTCAAACACACATCAATAAACACTTGATATAAAACGGTCATAAAATTGTGTGTGTGTCCATCGATTTTGACCCTATTGAAAGTTTCACTTTTTCTCCAGTTGTCTGCGTGCATGTTTTATTATCATTTTTGATCTCGAGTCGAACGTTTAAAGGACGCCCAGCAGTGAAAGTTTTTCGACTGGTTTCAATTTTATTTCAGAAGAAAAAAACATACTAGACGGAATTTTAATTTTTCGATGGTATGCACTTAACGACGCACTTTTCACGGTCATTTTCTGATTTAGTAAAAATTTTGTTTTTTATTCTATTTTACTAGCCTTAATTGTTTTATAAATTCTTCGATAATTATTAAATGATGAGATTTAATTTTTGATATATTTATAGTTGATTTATAGGATAATGAAAAAAATGGAAAAATACTCGTTTGAAGAAAAACATGACGTGCATAAACGTAATTAATATTCATTATTGCATATAATAAAGCAGTAAAAAGCAAAACAAATCTATGTATATAGTCAATAACATATTTTCTGTTTATCCATCATTTGCATAATGATTGTATTTCTGTTGTGGTATATTCTTAAATAATGTTATTTATTGATTTTAAAACTGTATTTGAGTTAAATTTGTGTCATAATTAATATAAGTATTTCAAAGTGTAAGTTTGATTAAAATAAAATTGGTAAATAAAAAATATGTAATTTTTCAGATCCGTGCTTGTACATTCTGCGGTTCGCTTCCAAATTGGAATTCGGCAGTAAAACGCAGGAGGTGGCGAACACCGCCCTCAGACTTGTGCAGAGGATGAAAAGGGATTCGCTACATTCGGGGCGCAGACCTTCAGGACTCTGCGGCGCTGGTAAATACGTTAAGATGAGAGATCTATAGGTGCAATCGGTAAATACCTTTTTGTTATCCGTAGCTCTGCTGATGGCAGCCAGATTGCACGAATTCAACCGACTCCCAACGGACATCGTGAAGATCGTCAAAGTCCACGAGACGACGTTGCGCAAGAGGTAGGTCTACTCTAAACATTGACAGATTACAGAGGATGTTGCGTTCTTTGTTGCCTCTAATTGCGTGTGCGGAATTGAAGAGGGGATGAGAAATGGTAAAAGTGTTATGAAGTGATGACCTGCCGTGCACTTTATTGCCTGGAACGAACGATGCACATTAACCGAAATATGTACGAACAAAAACGCTGATATTTCGCTTACTCGACAAAAGATTTTTTCTGCGTCTTTGTGTGCGTAACTTTTTTTTGATTAATTGCTTACGACTGGCTATTAGAACTAGCTAAAACTTTCAGAGCGTATATTCTATATCAGTGGTTCTTAACCTTTTTATCGTCGCGGCCTCCTTAAAATCCTAAAATATATTCGTGGCGAGCTTAACATTTTTAAATATTTTCACGGCCCACTATTTTAAAATAGTGATTTTATATAACCACAAGGGTAATTTTAAAATAGTGATTTTATATAACCATAAGGGTAATTGTAGCAAACTTTTTGTCTTGAAAAATGAATTAAATCCTATTGACAATTCAAGCAAATTGTCTTCGTGGGTTGGTTATAAATTTATGTTATCCCAGTTATTATAAGGATAATACCCAATTTTCTGCTATCAAGTTCATTATTTGGAAAATATTTGTCAAATTATTCAATTATTGGAGATGACATTGAATTCAACAATTTCTATGTTCTTTATCAAATTCACAATTATCTGCAATCATTTGAGAATAATTTGGAAACATTTACGAAGTTTCATTTTCATCGTTTCTATTTTATCTCGCATGGAAAACAAGTTGCGTTGATTTCTTTACATAGATACATTTAGCTGGTTTAGAACAGTGATTCCCAAAGTGGTCTATATCAACCCCAGCGTGGTCTATGACAACCTGCAAGGGGTCTACGTCAGCGAAAATAAAAATTGGGGGTCCACGATAGTGGATCTCAACATACACTGATATTTACTTACATTATACTATCTTATAATATAAAGACATATACGTTATTTATAAAAGTACCTATGAAGTAAAAAATGTATGTATATATGTTTATAAAATCGTGTAAGTTGTAGGATGTAGGCATTCGCTTTGTGGTCGCAATACATTTTGAACTTGTAAAAACCTGCACATAATGATATACCAGTATCATCTTGTTACAATCATACGCGCAGTCTCAGAGCAAAGATCTTAATAATTATAAAGATGTCCCAATATAAATAATAAATTTACAAAAAATCAATATCAAATAAGTAAGGGGGTCTACCCAAAACCGAAAAACATGCAAGGGGTCTACGACACAAAAAAGTTTGGGAACCTCTGGTTTAGAATGTAGAAGATGTCTGCCAAGTAAGAAAGCAATACCTCGCATAGTCCTGGTAATTAGTTCCGCCAATATCCCGCAATATATGAAACCGTACTAATCGTACTAAATTATTTTTTTTGATTAATTTTCAATCCGTACTGTAGTGTAGTTTTGTTGTACATTGAATGTATTAGATACTTAATATAGAACAATTTTTCATAACATTGATCAACAAACACTCAAATTTACATTCAAATCTTTTGCAGTGTTATTTCTACTCGAAAACAAGAAGATGATCGCTATAATTTCTAAGTATTTCGCATCATTCATTAAAGCTTTCATTGTGGATATCTTCTTGCTTTTACTTAAGTCCTGAAATAACATCGATTTCGTTTATTACAGAATGATTGAATTCGGCGAGACGCCGAGCAGTTCCTTAACTCTGGACGAATTCCTGACCGTAGATTTGGAGGAGGAACAGGACCCACCGTCGTTCAAGATGGCAAGGAAAAAGGATAAGGAGAGGTTGCAACGGGTGAGTATTAACATTTTTTTTGTTGTTGAATTTGTACGTTATCATTTCGCTTGTCTGCTTTTATTTAGCTGATGGACGAGGAGGGGGACACCTTGACGGATCTACAGAAGGAGATCGAAAATCAATTGATCAGGGATAATAAAAGTAAAAAGGCAAAACGAGGTGGGTGTTGTGCATCAGATTTTATAGTGTTGAAGGCTATTTAATAAGTATTTGCTTGTCGTTTGCAGCAGCTACCGGCGAAAAGAAAAGTGACGGCGGACAGGATAATGACATGATGAACTTCATCGAGGAGGAGACGGTGGGCACAATAAGCTCGCTGATTTCCGGCGAACCAATTGATGATCCCGATTTGGATGACGAGGAGTTTCCCAAAGAGCTCGGTAAAACATTATAATTATCGATTATGTAAATGCGCGTGCAAGAAAAAAAAAACAGTTTTCCACATCGTTGAGCTTTCATTATTTTCGCATTCGACGGCCTCCAAAAATTGATTAATCCATTACGTACGCTCAACGGATTTACTTTTATTTTGGTATACATGTTCACACGAACGTACACTTTGACTGATGACATATTGATATTTAACAAATACATAATGTAAACGTACGTTTCATATGGATATTTGTGCGTTAGTTCTGTTCATTTGTGTGTACATATTATGAAACGTACGTCAATGTTATGACCTTATGCATATTTCTTGTTTTTATTAAAAAATAAGTATTGTCTGCTACTTCATATACGATTATTTTCATTTATCGAATGTTCATGGATTTATTCCTATTATACTTCTAATAATAGTAAAAGTCAACGTCAATTCTCAAAGGAAATATTATTAAGGAAGTCGTGGCAAAATCGTGCAAGCATTTTATTGCCATTTCACCTTTAGGAAATTACAATAATCGGAATTAATTATTTCATAATGGTAGGAACTGACGATTTTTTGTTGTTGTTGTTATCATTATTGTAAGTGTCAGTAGTAGTTTATTAAATACTTCTTTGCAGGACCCAATATTGAGAGTTTGGGTTTGGTGAATTCTTTGGAGGATGTGGTAAGTGTACCGAAGGCTTCCGCACCCATTGATCTAGGCGACGAGACCTTCGATGACCTCGACGATGGAGAGCTGGACTCGTACATCTTCACCGAGGATGAGGGTCGTAACAAGAGCACGCTGTGGCACAAAATTAATGCACCCTATCTGGAAAAGCTTAAAGGTAATAAAATCATCGCGATCATATATTATAAGAGACAATTTCTTATGTTGAGTAAGAGGAATTTCCAGACCATTTCACGTAACAAGAAAAACATGAAACCAAACATTTTTTTGTCATAATTCTATGTAATAAGTAAATATTCGAGTAAAAATCCAACCCTGATAGTTCATAAAACAAATTGAATACAGTAAAAAGTGTTTAATAAGATTAATAGTTAGTTTATTGCGATTCTGTTAATTATTAATTATGTTCCAATGTAGACGTGAATTTTCTAATTACGTTTTATTACTCGAAAGTGAGAAAACCGCACGTGGATTTTTTTTCCCAATTACCATAAATCACGTAATGTAGATGAAATGAGGAAATTATACGTTCTGCACATTTGGGATGAATTCATTTCATTCTTTCGCAATCCTATAAATCTCATCGGTTCGTTTCATTTCTTTTGATGAGTTTTTTTTTGTTCGCTGCATTTATTGAAACAAAATTAGTTTATGTCTTTTGAATGAAAAATTGTAAATTTTGTTTGTTTGAATGCAGAAAGAGAAGAAAAATTGGCACGTGAAAAGGAAGAAGGGAAGCCGGAGAAGAAAAAGCGCCGCGTCGTGAGATCAAAGAAGAACTTGGCGCCTTCCGGATCTGCAGGTGAAGCAATCGAGAAGATGTTGCAGGAAAAGAGAATATCCTCGAAGATCAATTACGATGTCTTGAAGAGCTTGACCACTCCTTCTGCTCACGGCGAGAACTCCACGGAACCGTCGTCTCCTTCAGTCGATAGCGGTTCTTTGATACGTTTCGATTACAAAAGGTCGGTACATACACAAACAGCACACGTACACAATAGACGCTTCAGTAAATAAAGACGAAAATGTTGTGATGCTTATTTACTTAATTTTTTGTATACACATCAGTTTATCATAAATTAATTTGTTTTCGTAGACGACGAAATCCCACAAGTACGGGAGGTGAGACGCCGAAGAAAATTGCCAAGACAACCGGGCGGGGAAGGAAGGCCAAGGAGAAGGAGTCTTTTGGTTTGCCGGTGGTGGATGAGGCACCGGCGCCTGCCAAGGAGCAACAGCAACCGCCGACCAACGACCAAAAGAAGGACGATCACGGTAAGAAATTTGCAATTCAATATGTTCAGAGTTCATCAATATTTATTACATAAATTTACTCGTTTCCAGCTTCTGAGGATGATTACGAGGATTTCGAGGAACCGGAAGAGGTTCAACCGGAAATCGGAGTGATGCAACTTCTGCAGCAGCACCGCGACGACGACGACGAGGCCGAAATGTACTTCGGTACGGGCTACGACGAGGATGATTATTAAACTTTCTTGTGATATTGTCATCATATTTATTATTATTATTATTACCAAATCCACGTTTGTATCGACTGTTGCAGGATTTCTCCAAATGTGCTCATTCCATTTTTAATACATAATATGATTGCAGAAATAATAATAATTGACAATATTGATTATTAGCTTTTGTATTTATATGGATATCACTTATGTAATGTTTGGAATCTAGCTTAGAGTATTTATATTTATGTAACATTCGCATTTACGTACATATTTATGTTTATATTATGTAAGGTAACAAGTTATTATTTTTTTTATATTAATTGTTATCCGCTTCAATATGTCTCTCTATACCATTATCTCTCTTTATATTATTATATTGTTTTAAAAGATATATTTTTTTTTTCTTCTTATATCAATAAATTGAACGGAGTTGGACATCGTTACTTCTTTAACGTATCTATTAGTTAAGTGCAATAAAATATTATCCCCCCAATACCTCATATTTCGGTAAGTATTTCATAATCGTATAATATGTTTAATACGGTGGCAATCCCAAGCCCGACAACCGAAATCCCGTCTATCGAAATCCCGAGTGTATTGAAATCCCGACGTACTATGTCAAAATCCCGACAATCTAAAACTTAATAAGATTATTAATTGTTGTTATTCATTGTTAGTAACATAAACTAATTTTATTATAGAATATTTCTTATTCTTAAGTTTTATAATGAATAATAAGTCAACGAAAAAAAAAACAAAACAATAATAATTAATATTATTTATTGTTATTAAGAATAAATAACAACAATTAATAATCGAGCAAAAGAATCATCGACCTAAGTCTTAAAAGTATTTTTTTTCAGTATCCGTCGTATCTACTAAAATATAGTAGAATAATTAAAAAATGTTATTGTATAAATTATATAGAAATTGTTTATAACAAAAAATGTAACGATTGTCAAAAGTGACAACTGTCATTTTGCGACCCAATATTGGATTGCGACCTCTATAG